TGAAAATAATTTCCAAAACTATCAAGTTTTCTTGAAAAGCTTATTAAAAAGTTTTTTTAATTTGACTGATGATGTCAGATAGTAGACGTAAATTAGGATCTTATGAATATAACATCAAAATCATAATCATTTCCAGCATACAGCAGACAAATACAAATAATATAAAATGAGAAATGATGTTTAAAGCTTTAATTAATTAGTGAATATTACTGTTAATGAATCTTCTTCCTACTTCACTCTCTGTGTGGTATGAATGTGTGTCATTTGACATAAGAATCCATCAAATTAATTCTTACACTCGTTCTCTCTTGTGGCTCACTGCCATCTCTTACATTAGCAACAAAATTCCATTTCCTTTTTCATGTTTGTAATGTGAAATATGATTAATTATATTATCATGTCCCACACAGCTTAATAAAAAAATATGTCTTTGTATGAGAGTGGAAATATATAGAAGAAGATGTTGCTGTACCGAGGTATATATGATTAGGAAGTTGAGTTGGTTGAAGCTCAACCAGGCTTCCTTGACATCTCTACACTTTCCTCAACATCCCCAAATCCCTCTTCACTGGTTATCACTCAACATATTTCTGGTTCTAGCGCTGAATTTATGCACCAAAACCATCTTCTCACATATAGAAGGCCATCGATATGAGCTTGGTATGAACATGTTTTTAATAACCATCAAGTTTCATTAGACTGCGTTAACTTAGCAAGTCACCTGCCAAAGCTAATAGAGAATTTCAAAGCTAATATTGAACTGAACAAGGCGTGGAAACTATCCCAAATATCCCATTTATCCCATATATCCCAAAAATATTCAAAATAATCCCTGAGCCTGTATGCATTAGAATTGAGATATCCTATCAAATCCTGAAATTACACGTCCAATACACTAAGGATACGTTGGGATATCTTTATTTTCGTGCATATTTCGTGAATATTTTTGGGATATGTGGGATAAATTTGATATTTGAGATAGTTTCCACACCTTGGAACTGAATGACTATAAAAGCTCATTTATTGACAGTCACGTCAGTAGCACTGCTAGCCTTCTAGTCTTATTACTTTCCTCTTTAATTGCCTATGGAATATTACCAAATATTACGAAATAATTAATTTTCTCACAGCTATAAATTCAGATTGCATATAAATCTACGATAAACTATTGTCCCAAAGATTCAGCTTCACCCCGGGATCAGCTTCCGAATTCTATCATTACAATAATGCTCACTACCTCCTATGTACATCTGTTCCCATAAAAATATTCATCTAAACGTCATCATAAATTCATTACAGTAAGAGTATTAAAATATTTAATTAATTTTCATGCATTACAATGTAATGAAACCAGCACGACAGACATTACCACACACATTTATCAGTCACATACCATCAGACATTCTTTGCTATCATGTAACCAATTTGAGACGTTTAAAGAAGCACAAAAAGAATTGCTGTCTAATTGCATACATGATATAACAATAAAGACATTTTCTACAGCATATTGTCGCGAATTTGGTTTAATATGACATGAGTACAAAAAGCAGCAAGTTAAACTCGTTTAAATCTTTAAAGCACAAATGGACGAGAATGTGAGGAAAAAATAGCGGAAGTTCGAAACAAATTTAATTGAAAACCTGATTTTTTTATATATTTATTTATATCTCTGGCTTGCAATTCTGTATGGTCGACTATATCAGTGTCCATCACTTTCGTTTTCAATTACATGCTCATTGTAATTTATTTTATGCATCTGCGGTGATTATATAAATTCACCATTGACATTGTTATGACACATGCAATACAATTCTGTCTTGTTGTGAATAATTTTTTGCTTTATGGTGTGGCTGGATATGGGTACGGATGTTATTGTTGGCAAGTGGATTATGATTGTTGCGTAAAAGTTTCTTTACGTGGAAATTGTTAACGAATTTTCAATGCTTTTGTTATCGACACTGAGGAAATTGAAGTTCAGTGATTGTGTAAAAATGTCAGAAATTTGATAACTTCTTTTTGGATTTGATGGATATGTAATGGGATTTTAAGCTATGAAAGGTATAGGAAATATTGATGTTATCATTCGCATAAGAAGTAGTGTTGTAAACAGATCAGAAATCAGACTCTAAACCTTTAACCCCTTCAAAAAATTTTAGCTCTACATCTGGTCAGAGTTAATTGGTTTCTGGCGAATCAAGGCATACATTTAAGCAGGTTCTGTCAGTTCGAGGGAGAGTCTTTAATGACCGAGTTGGTAATTGACTAGAAACCTGTGACTTTTGAGTACGGTTTGGGTTCGATTCCCATCCTAAATGGTTGATCATTCTATTACCGATATGCATAGAGTCCAATGCTCTTGACATTACAAATTTAGATGCAAAAACATGATTTTGAATCGCTCAAGCACAAACCCTAACTACATCACCTCCTGCCTACATCAATAGTGACCAAAGTCTCAAAACACAACAAAATTAACTGCCAAACTTCATCACAAACCCAAGTTCAAATAATTCATCATGACATATTCGACCCGTCAGTTCCTTCCACATTCCTATAGTGCAAAATATAATTATCACATCTATTAGTCTTCATAAATCACGTCGTTCATTGACGCCATGTTAACGTCATTTATTAGATTATGTTGCTTTAAAGCACAATACAAGCTTATTAATTATCAGATTAAAAATCCGAGAGCACAATAAAAGGTCAATAATCTCGTTCCACAAATTGCATTAGCTGAACAAAATCTCCGTTACACATGTCTTAATAAATTAAAAAGAAAATCTCTAAAAACAATCATTCATTATGTTTAATTGGAGCGTCTTATTGTGCTTCACACGTTTAAGAGACTGCTTAGTGCCTTATTTTCACTTAATAAAAAAGTTTAATCGAAAGTCGTTTGTGAATTGAATGCATCGCATTGTGTTTAGGTATCTGGGAATGTAATGGATTAGAGCCAATAGCATTTTCGTGTGAAATATTTAGATTGTGGTTAAGTCAAATGCAGTTTATAGCTTGAGATGTGGTCGTTTATAAATGATGGCTGTTGAAAGTGGACCTTCTAGCTTGACATATCATGCAAACTATATTTTTATGTAGTATAAGATACGTTGGTGCTTTTTTAATCTCCAAACTTACTAAAATTGGTACGAAACATGGTTGGGAATGTTAAAGCTTGACATCATAAGCAAGTTATCCCCCAAACCTTATTAAAATCAAAAATTCCGAGCATTTAAATTAAAAAAGTGCAGCATTTTTGCAGCATAAAATTTAATGACAAAACTTTCTGCAGATTCATTGACTTTTTGCTTGAAAAATCTGGATGGAAACCTCCGAATGGAATTGTCATTAAATATTTTATCAGATCCATTTGTTTTGTTCTCATGCTGAATAATTTGGTAAAATTCAACATGCCATTAAAATGTATTTATCCGATGGTACAAAAAATAAGCACAAAGGAATTGAGATTTAATTTTATTTAATTTCTTGCTTAAATGGACATCAATAAAACATTTTTTGCAGCTATTGAGATTTTTGCTTGTTGTGGCTTTGCAGAAATTTCGTTGGATATACCAACAGAATTGCACTATAATTGGAAATGACTTCATAAATAATTGAATTACTATTTTTAAGCTGAATCAGACATGAGTGATGCTTATTTATCAATCAGCATAGAAGTAGAAGAGACATTTGTTCTTGAGCTTTTAACATAATTCACAAAATTAATGTTTTACAGTGCATTAGCTGGATTTTCAGACATTTTGCTACTTAATTCAGACCCAGTCGAGCCTTAGAATCGAAACTTACGAAAAAAAGCAAACTCCTTCTATGAGATCCATGAGAATTCTCTCAAGATATCAAGCTTCCAATAAAAAACAGCTGGCTCCCTTCTGTGACAAGTCACATCTACGTGCCAATTGTTACTCAATCACAAACCTTGAATTTAATTTCCAAGAAATAAGTTCAGTAATAAGACATAAAATTGTAGGTAACAGTCCAAATCTAGTTAAGTATATTGAGCTGCTGATATGAAACTTGAGAACTACTACAAATTTCCAGCAGATGGAAAAGCCGTAATGATTTGCTTTTAATCCAATTTTAATCTAAGTTAATATTTATGCAACAGACTTATCACATTCTCACAATTTCATCGGATATAAAAATGATAAATTTCCAATTAAGCTTCATAATGAAGCATTGATGATCCCAACATCATCATTTTACAATCATCAAAATTTTATAAACATCATCTACAGAAATAATATTATTAAGTAATTGTACAAGAAAATTGAAGTTTAATTAAAATTGCATTCACAATTGACAGACAGGTGATTGGATCATTTCCTCGTACTTTTCACCACTTTTGATAAGATCTTAATAATAATGTGTCATGCCAACATCATTATTTATTCAAACAAAGCACATATCCCATGTGTTAAGTCTTCATAATCTTCATCTTCTTTGTTTCTTTAAAACTTTTTCGATTGAGTCATCAGAATATTGATGATATTGGTTCTGTATGTTAAGCTTTTGTGTTAAAAAGGAACTTATTATATGATGACAGGTTTAAAAAGTTTCTTAATCATCTTCTGTCATCAAATGTTTGAGGAACAAAAGGTATTGAAATATGAGATTAAGTTTATAATGAGCTTTTAAGGAAGAAGCTTTGAGATTTGGTGCGATGGATTTTTAGACTCTTGGGATAGCATTCAAGAATTGATTTGATAATCGACAATTTGTTGGATCCTTGAGAAGGAGAATTGAACATTTAAGTGCTTGATACATCCTATACACTATGGCATGGATTTAAATCTAAAGTATAATAAATTCCAGACTTCAAAGGTTGATCAAAATTAGCAATCTTTATATCCTTAATTTAAATCCTCAACTCCAAAATTTCAATTTAAGTTTCCCAAAATTATCAGTTCCCAATCTTAAGTCTTTAGCCCCCACAATCTCCTGTGTTTGCTCCACAAGCACCTGAATGTCATCGAACTTACCAGTCGCATATTTAAGTCTCTATTATTCTTTGTGATTAGACTTGCAAATTTGTTCTTGATACTTTTTCAATAGCTTTTTTTTCTTTCACTGGTTTTATTTTTCACGACAATAATTTTTGTTTTATTCTCTTTATTCCTATATTGCACACTGATTGCTGAACACCTGAGACTGAATAATATTTTTATTATTTTTTTTTGTTAAATATCACAGCATCGTATTTTGTTTCCAATTCAACAAATAACTTTCTTTGCAAAAAAATATGTATGTAAAAAATTAATAAAGTTTTGAGACCGAACGTAGCGACAAGAAATCAACGACTGAATCCCATTTCACGCTTTTATCATCTATTTATAATAAACTTTTCCTAAATTGTGTGTTTATTTCGAAAAAAAACTAAAACTTGTAGAAACAAAAACAGAAACATCATGAAAAGTCTCATAGTTTCTATTTAATATGTGAATAAAAGCACACACGATACTCTATTTGTATGCACTGCATATGTTTTTAGTGGGGTTTCCTATGGGCGAATGAAGCAATAGTTCTCATTTTGTCTGTTTGTCTTTCTTTCTGCTAATCTTTATCTTATCTTATCTTGTCTTTCTGTCTGTACGGCTGTAACTTTATCCTTCTCTCTCCTCACATCTTCCTCAATATTCATTTAATACCCAGAAAATGCGCCTTTATCTCTATCACAATCATACTCGTCTCTTCCAGCATTCATTGGATAGCAAGTAGCGGTAGCTCTTCAAAAAAAAATAATTTTCATTTTCATTTGTGCACATGTAGTAGGTACATTTTTAATTTCTTTTGATGTATACAGCCAAGAAATGGCAAAGAAATGAAAGAGAAAATGATTATTGGAAAGAGATTAATGTGATACTCTCTTGGTAACTGGAAAGGCACACTTGCTATAGCATATTTGATGCACACTTCCCATCTCAACTTACTTATGGCACTTTTAAATAATTACAATCAATTTCCATAACAGATATGTGGTGTAAAATTATTGAGATAAAGTAATAAAGAGCTTGACAAGTCGTAGAGTTGTGGCGCCAATGTATTGCGATGTGAGAGACATTTTATTCTTCTGCCGGTACAAGGTTGATGCACTGTTGGCTAAATTCAAAATTTTGGGAAATATGATAATGGAAATAAAAGGAACTAAGGAGGATTGGTATCTTCAGTACCTATGTAGCTTGGTTTTATGGTGGCTTAGTGTCTTTGTGTCTTGTTGTCATCATGTTTTGTTGTCTTGTAATTTTGATTTTATGTGTCTTGATGTTTTGATGACATATGGTATCACGGTGTTTTGATGTCATTGTATCTTGGTGACTTTGTGTTTTTGTGTTGTTGTTTCATTGTGTCTTGGTGTCTTTTTATCTTTCTGTCTTGTTATATTGTTATGTCCAAGTGTGTCTTGATGTGTTTTTGTACTATGAAGTTCTAATGTCGTTGTGTCATTGTTTCCTAGTGTCGTTGTGCCCTACTGTCGTTGTGTCTTAGTGTCGTTGTGTTCTACGTATCGTTGTGTCCTAGTGTCGTTGTGTGCAACTGTCGTTGTGTTCTACGTATCGTTGTGTCCTAGTGTCTTTGTATCCTAGTGTCGTTGTGTTTTAGATGATTGATTTCGTTTTTTTGAGAGTTCAATGTACATGACTGACTTTGAAGTTTCTGAGTCTTTATATCAAAAAGCAACAATCCAATCAATTTTCGCAACATTGTACAGAACATCATGAGCATTCTCACTCCTACCATCACAATACTGAGAAAATTAATCTCAAATGATGTTCATTTTCATCCATTCAAAGCTTCTCAAAGAAAAAGTTCCCAGAATTATTTGAGTGAATACACCTTGTTTAACAGTACATGCTATATAGCTCATTGAAAGAGAGTGAAATATTTCAATTTAATATTTTATTTTTTCCGAAGATATTTTTTGCCTTCTTAGCTTTTCCATCTCATTAAGCACCTCAAATTTCATTCAATATTATGCCATTTCAATGTCTAGGTTGACTTTTGATACTTCTCTCTTTCCAACTCAATAAAATGTCATGTTCAATCGATTTAAAACCCCATCATTTCTCCATAGGATATTAAGTCGAATTGAATAGCTTTATTTGACTTTAACGATTTGAGGAAGGAAGGAAAGAAAGATTAAGCCATTGTTTGTTGATAGGAATTATTGATTACCTAATTGACCGAGGCTTTATCAATTTGGATTTGATTTATTGTGGATTGCTTACATAACGTTGGACAAATTGATGAAAAAAAGAAGAATTGCATGTTATGAATGACATGTGTGGAGTCAGGGATAGGAATTGACTTGATCTATTAGCTAATTGCTTTGAATTTACTGTTTTTATTCTACTGATACCTCTATCTTATCTGTAGGTTCCGAATAATTTTGATTCCCGAATTGAGTAAATTCTCAAGGGTCATTCACATATGACGTCTACTTAAAAATAGGATTTTCAAGACAATGCCCTTTAAATTTGTTGTTCATAGTGCTACGTTATCTTAGACTCATCTATAAATGATAGACTTCAGGGGCGTAGCCAGGTGATGGAAAAATGGAAAAATGTAAGGGGGGGGGGGGGGGGTATTTTTGTGATTTTCTCACAAAAATCCTAGAAAAATAAAGAAATTTCTGTTTAAGTTGGTACCCGGACCCCCAAATCCCCTCCTTGGCTACGCGCTTGATAGACTTTAAGACTGAATATCATTTAAACTTAACACACAACTCTTAACCCTCCTTGAAGAATTCTAGCTTCACCTCTGATTAGAAACAATCCAAAAGATAATAAGAAGTCCATTGATTCATTAAAAAGGCGATCCATGTAAATACAATAGCTCAACATTTGTCATCTTCTTATTGCTCATCTCAATTTGCTGATTTTTATGTCATTACTTCTTATTCTCAAACATTACGTGCTACACTTTTTGGTCTGTTTATTGTTCATGTCGTTTTCGCTCGTTTACATATTTTTGTTGAGGCACTCGCTGAGCATGAAATTGGTGGGTGACAAATGTTATAATTTTCATAATTTTAAAGTAATTGTTTTAAGCTGCTTTTAAGTATTAAATCGAAAAGTGGAGATCAATTGAATGTTGCGGAATAATGAGAAATGAAATAATTGTCATGTCGATGAACTCGAGCAATTTGAATATGTATTAAACCGGTTGTGGGAAATTTTATGCAAGATATTGTGTATATTCTGAGAGTTTGTGGAAATTGAATATTGAATTTTGATTGGATTGGGACTTTAACATAAAGTATTCTGAGTCTTGGAGATTGATTGTACTATTCGATTTTGCTTGTCCGAGCTTGTCTTATCCACTATCTGCAACAATCTTAAGCATCAATTGAAACTCAATATGCAGGCATTAACACTTCTTCCTTTCTATCTTATGACGCCATTAATGAATGACACATCTAAGGTTGCAGGCAGCAAGCGATCATGTTGGAACAAAAGAGCTCATGAAGAGTTGCTGTTGATATAAATGGGGAGGCCAGGAGTGTCAATAGAATTCAAGACCCTCTCTTGATATCGAAATTAAAATTGCTAAAATTTTAAAAGTTTCAAGTAAAATCTTTAAGTCCAGTCACCGAACACCGTCCACAATTGGACCTACTTCTTCTTCTCAGAAACTTTTACTGATGAACTTCCGACTTGCTCTTCGTAAATGTTATGCGAAGATAAGGACAGTATTGTCGACAATTGAGGAAGGTAAAATACCGGACGCATCATAAAGTGTCAGTTACCTATTTATTAAATATAATCATACGTCAAACATCATCAGAAGAACAAAAGCAATTTCTAATCACCACATTGCTTCAACTTCATCACAGACCATTTCATCCAAAAACCATAAAAATATGAAAAAATAAAATTACATAAAAATCCTCATAAATTCATCATCCACTAATCGCATGCATAATGACCGCTTAATCACCAAAAGAAAACAACTTGAGCTTTATGCCTAACACATCACATGCCAAAAATTAATTTTTCATTTTTTTATTTTGGTGATCACTCGAGCGAACGTCATGAATTATTTACATATAGCCACTGTGTGCTTCAAATCGTTGCTTTAAAAGCTAAAATTTTCACTTTCTTTCTAATTCCGACGATAGTTTATGTAGTGTATCTTTAAGTATTAAATCTTCTGACGCATGTCGTGTTAACGAACAATTTTAACCTCTCTGTAATTTGACTTAATTTGGTTTGGAACTGATGTGTTGATGTGAAGATTAAGTAACAACTTTTGATGTTTAATTACTCGTAACGAATTTCTGAAATTTAAAAATCTTATTAGAATTTATGTTGAATGCTTTAATGTGCAGATTCTTAGACAACATTAAAACATTCAGCATTAAACTTGCATAATATTCAAAACATTCACTTTCATTACTGCTCAATTGATAAGTTTTCTTTCTTTCTTTTTATTCTCACTAAATGAACATAAAATTGAATTATTTTTTTACTTTCTTTCTTTTTCCTCGTCTTCGATTATTATCTTTTATTATCTATATACATATCTCGTGTGTGTCTGCGTATTCTATCAACTACATTGTATGTTATATATGCATAAAACGGTAATTAGTAATTTATAATTATGTTGTTTATTGTTGCTGTAAATTGTAATTATAATGACGATAATGCTAATTGATATTATAGTTTTAATTTATTGGCTATAAACTGCATATAATTTTTCATAATTAAATGCATTTGCCATTGCTCTAGAATTTCATTCTATTGTTTATGCTTCTCGGACAATTTTTACTATACAATTAATATTACTGTTTATTATTGTGATGGGCTATGTGGAGAGTTTTTGTGGATGCTAGAAAATGGTTTAATCGTTTTGGAAGAGATAAATGATCGAGATTTATGTACACGAATCTGCCACTGCGATGATAAGACCTCAATGGTCGAATAGTCAACCAACAAACCAGAAAAGAGAATCTCAGTATTTGCGAGCGTGTGTTCGATTCCCATCAGACTTTAAAACTAAGATTCACATGAAGCTCACGACATTAAAGTTTCCTAGATTGAAATCAACTGTATTGGTAGCTATATTGAGTTTGGAGATAAGAATTTGGTTTATCAAGCAATATAAAGGCAGTTGTAAAGCTTAACACTCGTAGCAGTTTTATAAAAAGACTGGCTATGGGTTAGATGGTTTGGAAATCACTTGGTCTAAGGATAAACACTTTACCAGGGGTGTTGAATTAAGTATAGGATAGATTAACTCTAGGAGAAAAGACTAAGTTCATCCTAAAGTTAAATTAAGATTGTATCCACCTTCATACCCTAAGAAATAGTATATCTTCGATTAAAACTCGAGTAGGTATAGTCTAACCTAGAACTCAGGGGCGTAGCCAGAAAATTTTTAAGGGGGGGCCCATTTTCGTAAATTAAAAAACCGTTATTTTGTATCCCTAAATCTATATTCATTCTTCATAAGTTTAAATATTTAATTCATTATTCATACATTAAATTTGATTTTTCGTGCTGATTTTGACATTTCTTTCATCACTTCCTCTACATTAACTGGTTCTTCTCTATAAATAATGAATAAAACAATTATCAGATTTTCGTAGGGGGGGCCCGGGCCCCCTATGGCCCCCCCCTGGCTACGCCCCTGCTAGAACTCAAAGTCAATAGGGTTTAAGTTGACTCGAGTTGACTCAACTTTTCTCGAGTCGATTTCATTTTTTTCCGAGACTTATGTCAAGTCTACTCGGTAATATATTTATATAAAAAAGTTGACTCGGAAAAAATTGTCAAACTTGAATTGAATCGAGTCAACTAGAAAAAAACCCAAGTGTGGATATGGCTCCGAGAGCTTATCTGTAGTAGATAGGCCTGAGCATAGGGCTTGCGTTGAAACTGGTTATATGTGTATGACGGATAGCCAAAGTGAGATAAGTACTTCTGTGACCGATTGGCAGGGATCTCTGATCGAGTGGTCTGAGATCGCCTCTTTTGAGGTCGTAGGTTCGAATCCTATCGAACCCGACTTGTTTTACATTAGTATTCACATATGGTAGTTATAGGGAGATCTACACCAAGTCTCCTCGACTTCAAGCTCTGCACCTAGAGTAACCCAAGCCATATATTGTCAAATGTAATTGACTTTTCAAATTTTACTAGATCAACCTTAGGATATACATTACAAACTATCTTCAAAACCATTTTCTAGCCCCCACAGAACCTCATTTCATCCTTTCAGTGCTAATAAAATATAAAACAACTTGGCTTGTCATTAATTTCTCCATTTTTACATCTCTTATTGTTTTCATTTTTTTAAAAGACATTTAATTATGTCGTCACTTATTCAGGGAAATAAATTATAATATAATAATGATAGAGGAAAAGGAGATACATATCAACTGGGTGTGTTCTTTGCTTCATTTATTTTATTTCTATCTTTTTTTATTTTTGCCATTACTCATTATGTCTTGTATACTTATTAGCTGTGTCTTGCAGGAGAGAAAAATGGAAAGTTTTTTTTTTCCATTTCTTGCATAATTTGCAATTGAACTTGAAACAACTTTAAAAGCTGATGCACAATAATAATATTATAAAAAAATTTCTTTGAACCCAATTTGTTATGCAATTGTTTCAGTATGTAAACATTATTACATTTATGCACACAATTCCTTATTGTCCAACTTTAATAAATCCACCAATGAGTTGGGTACAGTTATAGTTGTTGTTTGTGTGGTTGGATCTTGAATACCGGAAGCAATCGTTAAATTCGAATTAGTGGAATTAATGACATAAGTCTTGTTATCATCCGCTAGATGATTACGCAAATGCTGTATCAAGTCATTTTTATTGACGCAAATCTCGCGACATAAAATGCATTGGGAAGTTAACGATGAGGAAATGGATTGATTTGCTGCAACTACTGGCGTTGCGATCGATGATGCCGTGGATGTTGTTGATGATGAAGCATTTGGTGTTTGCTGTGTCGATGCGTTGATTATCGAGTCGTCATTTCTTATTGGTGTAACCTAATACGATAAATGGTATGAAGAATTATTAGTTATTGGTTATAGTTTATGATCTTTAATTGGATTTTATTGCTTTGAGAAGTGCAAGGTACATGCTATTATGAAACTATATGCTCATTGTAATGTAAAACTGCATCGGACATGCAGCATGTTAGGAATGAGAAAATTGTACGAGCTTTTTAAATCCATCAGTTGTATGTGACAGTATTCTAATTGAAAATTTTTGACACATCTTGTGACTTTAGTTCTTTTGGGAATGTTGACGATGAATTCTATAGAGTATTAATTCTTAAAAGAGTTTTTATTCGATCCTGGACATTGAAGAGTTTACTGAACCTTAGTATGGCAACAACCTTGACTTGTATGTATCCTAGCTTAAATAATCCCCTGGCAATGTCTTGTTGACTAATTGGATATTCTTGGTTTAAAGCACGCATTTCTTAGTCGTAGTGCTAGTTAAGGTTCACTGAAACCTCGTCGGCTATACAAAAAAGTCACAAAGGATCGAACTTTCATAAGAAAGTTCAAAAGTTTCTGCTCCTGATTATTTCTCTTAATTGTGATAGTTGGACTCACTAAGCCCAATAGACCAAGCATCCTAGGCTCTCATTAACCTATGGTTCATGCAACTCCATCTCATCCCTCCTTATCAACACCATTCCTACTCACCTCCTCAATATAATTTTGTCTATAACTGTTGCTATCTAAAATAATGTAATTTAATTGCTGTGGCTGATGTTGATTATCAATCGAAGCTGTTTGTTGATAAAGATGCGATGACGTCACAGTAGGAATTGTTAATGTTGGTGTCGGTACAGTCGTTATTACACTTTGGTTGTGTCAATACTGCAAATAATGAGAATGATAATAAAATTCAATGATCCATAAATTAATCAGAAATAACTTGTAAGTCAGTCACAAGTCTTTCCTGTTTACAATAATTTTTTTTTCTTTTCTTCTTCCTCACCTCCATATGTGCTTTTGCGTGCGCCGTCCACTCTTCTCGCGTTGGCAATATACGATTGCATAATTCACAAGTCCACAATTGCTGTCCTATATTTGGCTGCTGATGGGAATGCTGCTGTGAATGTTGTTGGTGATTCTGTGAACTTATCGTATGCGTTATCGTATTTAAACCGGTGGATGGAATGCTTTGACTTTGCAATTGATGATGCAATTGGAATGGCTGTGGAGTTTGTTGATGATGTTCTGTAGCTGACGATGCCGATACTACTTTGGTTTCGTGAGATATTATTACAGCTGGCTTTTGAGTCTGTTCTTCTTTCTTGATCAGATTGGCTAGGTTGTTGTGGCGTTTACCTAATGGAGCTATATTTGTTGGCGTTACGTGCTTAAATTTGTTCATGTGAATAACTGGAAATGTTATGTAAACAGATTATTAGTAAAGCAGATTTAATTGTAAGGAAGTTGATAGCATTTTTTTGCTACTATTCTGGTTATTTGGTTTGCATGTGAGATGTGTGGTAAGTTGGGAATTTGTTGTGGATGTAAGAAGTGAGTGTTCAATTCGAGGTGTGGCTGGGGAAGGAGATTTGGACTGAAAACTCTCAAAATTCATGGAATCAGTTTATAAGAGTATCAAGAGTGCCTTAATCTAGGATCAAAAATCGATTTGAATAGGATAAAAAGCCTCAGCAACCAGCCCCTCAGTATAAATCCCCAAATAATCACCTCCATCCACAAAGAATTCCCAACAAAAGCAAACCATCAATACAGCATGAAAAACGACATCAAACCTTACCAAGCTTATCTCTCCGAGCAAATGCCTTGTCACAAATTTCACAGATATATGGCTTTTCCCCCTAAAATACGCAGCACATAAAAGAAAATTCAATCAGAAAATCTCAAATGTAAAATAATTCATTCATCTTTGACACTACAACTCACTGTATGTATTCTCATATGAATCGTCAATTTATCCTTTCTCGCTAATCCTTTTCCGCAAACCGTACACTCGAATGCCTTTGGCGTATTACTTGTGTTATTATTTGTCGATCGACTCTTCCGCGAACTCGATGATGTCGTATGTGAATGAGATTTTGTGAGATGATGATTTAATAATCTTGTATTTGGATTTAAACTACCACCTTCAACATATGGCTCAGTGAATGGAATTAGATTTGGTCTTGGTATGTTTGGTGGGATGTCTGCTGGCCATTGTATAGCTGCATGTCCTCTCAGTCCACTTTCGTAGCCTAATGCTTGTAATCCATCATCTTGTACTGTCGTATACGTTGATGTTGTCGATGAACTCGCTAAACTCGACGTTATTTGTGGAATTTTAATATTTGTCGTATAAAGGTGATGTGTTGATGACGGTGGAGGTGCTTGTGACGTTTGATGATGTTGTTGATCATTTTCTTTAATTACTTGATGTCTTTGGGATCCCTGTGTCGTTTGTTGTTGTTGTTGTTGCTGCTGCTGTTGTTGTTGCTGCTGTTGAATTTGCAAATTTGCTTGTGCTATGTGCTGTTGGACTGTCATGTGAGCCTCAATATAGGCATGTCGTTGGGCCGGTGTCATTTTGTCAATATTTACCGTACCGTCCTAAAATAATTGAATGATGAGCATTTTCTTTCTTTGTAATCATTATTAAAAGGTTGTGAAAATTAATTTAATTTTATGTTGCGGATTTTATGCTTTAATTAGTCTTTACTGTCATTAATTTTTATGGACATGAAAATAATAAAATTTTGACGTCTAAAAATATTTATTGTTGGTGAATAAAATCAATTAAATTTTGCTCGTGGATAGAGGTTCCATTGGTATGCATTTATGTAGTTGTTTATGGAGTTTGGATGCTTGAATCTTTAAATTGGTGGTAGACAGCTCCAGACCCCTTTGTCCTTAATATTAAACATTATTTATGAATTTTGACATTCCGCAATCTTATTTTTGCACTGTACATGCTCATTTTATCAAAAGCTTAAGCCCGTATAATCAGCATATTTGACTGACTAAATTAACAATTCTAATGGCATGTATGTTTTTAATCGAATATTCTTCTTCGTCTTATTACGTCTGTTCATTATTTTATTTGCAAATTGCGTAGTTGCTAGACCATAATATTAGCTTTAGGCTGTAATGCAAGTAGTTATTGCAATGCTTATTATAGTATCAATATCTCAAGCCTTCATGTTCATCTGCATGTAAATCATATAAGGATTGAATGTAAATGCATTTAGATAATAATTTATAGCTATAAATACACAAAATTATTCATCAATTTATTTTCTTAAGGGGTCGTTCCTAGATGGTGTATACAAATTTATAAGCTGAACCCCCTCTGTCTGGTTGAGTAGACAAGACAGTCTCCCTTTATTTGAACAAACGTCTTCAAATGATAAAGTCATTGGACTCAAAATTTGTCCTTAAGTTCCTAGCATTAAAACAATTTATTTTCTTTCATATGAAAGAACCACATAGCAACAGACGCTCTTAATTCTAAACAAAGATTTTGACATCATTTATAAGAAATTTGCTATGACTAGACTTTATGTACAAACATTGATAAAATTTGAAATCATCTTAAATTTTGAACAATTCGTTGAGTTCTCAAAAACAATAATTGAAGCTATTTAGTAAATGAGCATATAAAAACAGAGCATAAAGCATATAAATTACAGTTTTATTCATAGAACTCCTAACTTATAAATTAAATGGTAAAATATAATTATTGGCTTGATTTTGTAAACGTAGAATATGCTCAATCGTATCCTTTCTAATACGATCTGTATGGATAATTTCCAACAAATTAGGAGGAAGTGGGGTTCACTCTGTTACATAGAGGTGGGCAAAGATTTGTTACGTAACAATTTTATATTCAAAGTTAATTCTTACATTTTTTAAAAAGCTGTAAAAATTTAAAATTTTAAATTTTACAGCTTTTGTTTCGCATGGGGAGTGCGGAATTTGTGATTTTTTTACGATCTATAACAACTAGGGAAGCGGGATCAATAATAACTGAATTATAACTCAAAATATGAACAGTAGAATACAGGCGGAGCTTGAATTTTTTTTGCATAGACGGGAAAATTTGGGGGGGGGGGGTTGTTGTTATATTTTTTCTCAAAAAAAAACCTAGAAAATTGAAGATTTTTTTCATAAGCTCCAGTGTTTTGACACCAACCTCTCTTCCTGAGTATGCTACTGAACAACCCAATAAAACTAGTCCAGTCAAAACGAAAGCAATCTGACAAGATGATATCAAAAAGGCATCTCCATAGATGTTTTTTGGTGACCTAGAAACACTGTGCTATTCCTTCGTTAATTTTAAATAATAGTATTAACATCAATCACCAGAGAAACCACCGAATGGAACCTCTATTTTCATTTCCTAAACAATCAACTCATGCTGATGCAAGATTTGCATTGGCAAACTGCATGCATGTACCAATTGATTTATAGCACAACGAGTGCATAAAAGCGCATAGAATTAGATGAAATAAATTATGATATATAAATTTTAATAGATATAAAAAGATTTGAAAGTCTCGATAACACTACCCAATGTACTAACTCACTTGAAAGTTTATTGTTGCCGTTACGTTCCGCATTGATTCTGCATAATTTTTAAAAATATTTTCCGTCTGTACACAAGTCGTTCGCCATTCAAAGAACTGTTCAATTTTATTTACACAACGTTCGCAAACTTTTTTTGGTAAAAAGTCCTCTTTTGATATCGAAACGGGCAAAATTGTGCGAATTTTAAACAACAACTGTCTCTGCTCAGCCTCTTTGTCAAATAAATTAAGTCGCGGACCAAACTTAATGGAACAAAATCGACACAAGTCAATGAATGCAGTAAAATTTATTTCTTCGGCTGAGCCACTTTGCACTAACAGTGTGTTATTGCTCACGTCTATGTTACTTGATGATGATTGTTGATGTTGCTGTTGTTGGTTCGATATCATTTCTATATGTTCGGAAATTTTTTATTTTTAACTCACACTTGCCCTTATTTTGACACAAATCAACATTTATTTTTTTTTTTTTATACACGAGAACTCTCTTCCTATATAATTGTATTTATAGATTCCTTTGGAAAATGTATGTCATACACACTCATAATAATATTGCACTACCCGACTTTCTTCTTCTTCTTCTCTTTCTCTCATTCACAATGATATTCTTATTGTTTGTTCATTGAGACACCCCTCATTCCGAATATGCAAGCGATATGAAATGAAAAATCGATAAAATTGCAATGTTCGTAAAAAATTTTCCTTCTCGCCATTTATTAATGTTTTTAACAATTTGATGCATTTTATGTCAATTAATTTAACTTAGATTTGATCCTTTAAACAGTATTTTATGTCATTTCCTAGAACTTTTACTAGAAATTCCTGTATTTTAAAATTTGCCACGAAATTTTAAATTTTTTTATCTTTTCAAGTAATTTCAATGAATTCCAACAGAACTTCAAGTCATTCACAATCGATAGCAACTAAGTTTCAACTTTCAACAATTTCCTCAACAAAATCCTTCAATTTTCCATTAAAATTTATTTTTTTTAAAATATTCTAGGAAAAATTTTATCACAGAAACGAAAAAACTTTAGGAATTATCCATTAGCGACACCAAAACAAGCATCGATTCTCTCACGAAAAATAATAGAGAGGAAATGTGAGAGCGAATGCAGTTATGATAACCAAAAACGTGCTCGAGGAACTATGCGCAGACGTGAATATTTCACCCTGCATACCAACCTCCTCAACTTTGTGTCTCGATGACTTTACTTCCTTCCTTATGATTTCTTTCCTTTAAGTTTTGTTTATAAACAGTCGCGGCATTTTTTCGCGCGCGACACGAGGATACTTAAATGTGCATTATACTCGAGCTGTCATGGTAACGTGACCTTGTTTATTTATGCTTGTTGTTATGGCAATTTTATATTGTTGTAAAGGACCAAACAAAAGTTTTTCACGTTAGTTCAGATGGCTCGTACTTAAATTAATTATTATTGATGGATCCTATCAATTTTATACTTAATACATCTGGTAAGTTTATAGCCACAACTCTATATCATGTCAATTTCATGAGATTCTATCCAAATTCCAATAGCAAACTTCTTTAATTTATCACAATCCACTGACGATTCTTATGTAAGAGACTTTCTGGAAAATGACAGTCAGCGGGTTCTTTCGGCATCGCTCAACGACACAAGGAAGTCCATACAATTTCAAAATAAGATACCTAATGAGTATCAGAATATCCTACTTTTCTATAAGACTTCGCAAAAGCGGGACGTGAATGCAAATTCTTTTGGACAGAAATCGGATCTTGGCATGCTGACCTTGGAAGGTGGAATTGTAAAATCGATTTATAACTCATTATCGTCCATTTTTGTGCCGAGTGCAATTAACGTGAGTAGAGTCCTTAGGATTATTTTGATTGAATTTGCTCGAGTAAAGACTGCCTTCATAGTTTGGTTCATAGCCATCAAACTGATATAATAGCATAGTTTTCAATATCTAACCTTTAAAAACTCTGATACCCAATTAAAACAAAAGTTGTCAGGCTATTGAAGACATTCTGATAAACTTTCCACAAGAACCTAATTTTAATCCACGTGTCAATACGATTTCCATGGGGTTTTTCACCAAAATCAACAAGATTTGCATGATGAGGCATTAAATAAGTAATGAATATTCATTTCACTACTAAACACAATTAGGTATATAAGACTTTGTTCTAGTAACAGCAAGAATGAATTAGTTTAATGAATTAATTAGAATTATAACACAACAGCTTGAAATGAAAAATATTGCTGGTATTTTACAACACCAATGGCAACGTTTACAAGTTTTTTTGGCAGTAAATGTTATGCAGAAAAATTAGCAATGAGAATTTATAGCGTTGTGCTGATTGTTGTGTCCATTGTGATTATAAATGATTATTTAATGACTAAATGGGATAGAATAGTGAATAAATTAATAGTGACATACTTATTCTAAAGGATATGCGTGGAATATGTTTATTTAAAGCTTCTTTTCTATAGTTATAATGCATATAGACTCTGGCTAGAGTTTTTGAGATTTACCTTTCAATATTATATAGGTCCTAAGTTCATGTGCCTTCACATTGGAGTTCTTAAGTGAAAGTTTCTTCACAAAATAGCTTTTTGAGGTTCAGTTGTCTTCAAACTATAGTTTTTAAGTTCAGGTTCCTTCACACTAGAATTTAAGGCTCAGCTACATTCAAACTTGGGTTTTGTGGTTCAGCTGCCTTCACATTAAAGTTCTTAAATTCAGGTTTCGTCACACTTGAGTTTTTTTGATTTGGTTGCCTTCACATTAGATTTATTTTAGGCTCAGGTGTCTTCAAAATTGATCTTAATGTTGAAATACCTTTATCATACTAGAATTTAAAATTCAGTGGAATTCACACTAAATCTCTTAGTTTCATGAGCCTTTACAGTCTAGAGCTTTTGATGTTCACGTGCTTTTAGTCTACTTGACATAATCTATCCGAGTAAAACAAACGCACCAGTTTGACTTCATTTGAAGGCTATGCAAAGTTTGGTTGGAAATTGAAGTCCATATGTCTACCTATTTTGTGTGTGTAGCTTGGGCTTGAAATTATTTTACCAATTAACAAAAGAGCTAATAATATTTTTATCAAAAAACATTCCAGAAGAACGAATGCTCCAGCGATATAATAAATCTCATAGAAAACCTTCAAACCAACTTAAGTGTATCCCTTGGAGTAGCTGAAACAGGCATAACATCAATTAAAGATGAAATCCAATTTTGGCGACAAAAAGCTACAAACTCAACAACAAAATCTGATAAAGATGCAGCAAGAATATTTGCAGAAGAGCTTAACAATCTCAGCAAGGTCATTGAGGACTTCACAAGCCTCAAATCAATCCAAAAATTAGACAACTTAGAAGATTTGATGGATAGAGTTCAGTACATTCTTGATGAGTTATGGAGAGTCCCAAATTTCCAATATCCACAAAATCGAATGATATCGGTCATTGACGTTTTATCGTCTATGATTGTATCTTGTTGTATTGATGACATGATGAATCAGCAAGACGACATTTGGAGCACAAATTCAATGAACTTGAATGAGTTGATTAGTCACGTTATGGACATCATGAATAATTGGATTCAAATCTGTGACTCGCTCACGAGATTATTTTGGACAAATTGCGACCAACATCCATGGATTGGACAGTCTTATATACCGAGTTTAATAACAAGATTTAAAATCCGTGTTGAAGAAATTTTGGACATAAAACAAATCCACAAGCAAATTTCGATATTAAGTTCTGAAGATGAAAGTGTGGATTTTAAGTCAAGGGATTATTTCTACAGTTTTAGGGACATCAACATCTTCGACACAACACCAATTGGCGATAAATATTGGAACAACGCGAAAACTAAGTTCGAGCAGTCACTGTCAGCTATTGATGAGAAAATAGCAGCAAATATCAAGTTTTCTATCCAAAATGCAATCAACAACCCACGTCAAGTGATTTACATCTTCTCGAGATATGAGAACATCCTCAAGAGACAAAAAATCAAGGATGCATTGAGAATTGAATGCGACCATCTACACCAAGCTGTAATGGTCTTTATGAAGCAATTAAATGAAGCACTTGGTGATAAAAGTAGTCATGCTGATGATGACGATGATGTCTCTCAGCTTGTCAGTGAAATAAAATGGCTGAAAATTATTGAATATCAAGTTCAACAAATTAATCAGATCTGCCAAAATGTGCTTAATGACCGTGAAGATTTTGAAGAGTTAAAAAAGAAAGTCAGCGATTTTCAAGGTGAACTTGAACAAAGTTTAAAGCACAACTACAATGAATGGTGCGAACAGTCAATGTCCTCGGTTGTCAGTGGGGAACTTGTATTGAAAGACAATGAACCTGTTGTAAAGTTTGAAAAAGCTGATAGGCAATTAATGACTGTAACTTATAATCCAAAATTGTTAACATTTTGTCAGGATTTGAGGCATCTTAAGAATTTTGGGTTCCATACAATCCCTAATGACCTCATCAAGTACGGAACCATTGGTAGAAAGTATGTGAAGTATGCAAGGAATCTTCAGCAGATTGCAAATTTCCACAACACGATTGGTGATCGAATAATTCCATGTCAACGACCTATCATGCTGAAAAATGCAATGGAACTGTCGAATTTAGTCAAAAGTCAATCAGTTTCATGGAATAATGAAGAGTCTGTCAAGAAGTACATCATGGTTCTACAAGAAGCAATAAATCAGCTGTCAAAGGATAATAATTTGCTGTCTGGATATCATGAGAATATGAAGAAATCTGTAAGTTGAGATTTTGTGGTTTGACTGAGCTAGTAATGAGTTTACAGCTTGTTATCAACTAAAAGCCAGTCTAAGGAAGCAGTTGCTTGATATATGCTTTAAATTTGATTCAATACTATCTTATTTTCCCTTCTAGATCATCAAATTGATGAGCACAGACCTCCTCAAACAATCCAATGTCTGGAAATCAGAGCTCAAAACGCTTCGTGACTCAATAGCAACTCTCGAAAGAAAAGGCTTCACTAATTTAAACCTTTTCAGACTTCATTGGGATTATCAACTATATAAAGCTCTAGAATATCAGCTAATCCTATTTCTTATCGACAGCAAAGAAAAACTTCCAGACATCAACATCGATTTAGTATTTAGGAATCAACAGCTTCAATTTCGTCCCACACTCGAGGAAATCCGCCACGAATATTATTCACAGATACGAAAATATGTGGAAATGCCACTCCATTTTCATGGATTCTCCGACAATAGTAATAAATTATTTCGTGTAATGGTCGAGAGGAATAGATCGAGATTTAAATCACTTTACGATAAAGCTGAGAGGAATTTTCATCGGTTGTGTGAATTTAGAGATTTATGGCTGCCTTGGGTATCGCTTGGATGTGTTAATCTTGAGAATTTATGTCAAGTTCATTTGTCGAGTTGGGAGCATTGGGATAGGAATTTCAAGTCGTGCAAGAATTTTAGTCAAAAGATTGCAAAGATACAGAAGTAAGTGGAAAATGGTTACTGTTAGGGATTTCATAATTACTTTCCCATCATGTTGTTTCCCCCGTGTTCAAACCTTACAATCCATAACCTTCTATATTTATTTCAGATCCGAAGAAAGAATCGACTGCTTTGTTGTCAATGTAGCTCCCGTCCGTTCCCACATCGAATTCATAGCCAGAAGCTTCTGGGAAACATTGTCAGTCAGCTTAAGGTCATCAATTCTAGAAGACAACTCAATCCTTCATGAATACATCACAACAGCTCTAAATGTTTTACAGCACATTCCAAATGATGACAATGGAATCATAACAGCAAGCTTTAAGTACGAAAAAATCGTTCAAGACCTCCCAAGAATGACAGAACTACTTAAAAATGTCCAAAGCAAGAACACATGTCTCATTGGATGGTGTAAAGAAAGTGTTGGCTCACTTGATTCACTTCTTGTCCAATGGGAGAAGTTATTGCCGTTAATTGACAACCATCAGCTGCTGCTACAAGGACAGCTTGAAGTTATTAAAGAGAATTTACTGTCAAAAATTAATGGATTGAATGGCGATGCTGAAAAGTTTTTGATTAAATGGGAAGACACGTTGAAGGATTTGGAATCGAATGCTGATGTTGATTTTGAGATTTTTAAGGACAGGAAGTTACAATGGTTAGAGTTTCTGGATAAAAGGGATATGCTTATGTAAGTTGTGTCTATTACTCAATTGTTCATCAATTAGTAACCTGTTTGACTTCCTTTCAGTGCTGAATGCGAAAAATTCAATGCAACATTCACAAAAGATCTCAACGATAAGTTTCAAAAAATTGAAGATGACATCAAGCGTCATGGCGAGCAATGGACATTGTTTGAAGACTTTCTAAATGACTATGACAAAATAGAACAAGAAGAATGGTCAATTTATAGACGAAAACCTTACGTATTTGCTGATTTCCTTACTAAATGGGAAAATAAAACCAATAACATGATTACAGTTCCAGCAATGAGAATTAAGAAGCAGATTGAGAAGTTTAGGACAATAATGCCGACTTTGACGATGTTGCAGTCAGATTCACTTGGTGATAAGCACTGGGCGAGTATATTTAATATTATTGGACTGCCACCAAAATCTTATCATGACATAAAATTGCATGATGTCCTCAAATATGCACCAGCACTAGCTGAAAACACAAATGATGTTAAAACTGTTGTGCATCAAGCATATTCAGAGCAAATTGTAAGGCAAGCAATTACTGAATTAGAGCAGTGGGGAGTTGTGGCTAATTTAAAGCTATTTACACATTTAGACAGTCGGAATGAGTCAATAATGCTGATTAAAGAGTTTCAAGAAGCACTTAATAAAATCGGAGACAATCAGTGCTTGCTACAATCCGCAAAAAATACAGTAGCAATTGACAGTTTTATGGACCAAATAGAATTATGGGAGAACAAATTGAATCTTATAAGCTACATCCTCAACAACCTCTGTCAAATTCAGAAGAAATGGATTTATTTAGAGCCAATTTTTGCGAATGGAACATTAAGAAGTGGAGACACGTCATTTAATCGGATTGACAAGGATTTTCGGTACATTATGAGAGACATTTCCAGCAATCCAAAGGTCATATCACTTGTGAAAATTAATAACATCCAAATGATAATTGAGTCATTGCTGAATCAGCTTCAGCATTGCCAAAATACTTTGACAACTTACATGACATCAAAACGAGATTCATTTCCTAGATTTTATTTCCTTAGTGATGATGACTTGTTGGAGATATTAGGGCAAGCCAGTAAGGAAAATATCATACAGAAGCATATTAATAAGCTATTCCCAGGAATCTACAAGCTTGACTTAATCCTGGAAGATAAAAATACAAAAATCAAGAGCATTAAGACATCCGAAGGTGATAATGTCCAACTTTCAAGTATAATCTCAACCACAGATTCCGTTGAGACATGGTTGACAAAACTAGACACAGAAATTAAGACAACTTTAAAGCAACAAATCAGAATTTGCTATCAAACCAACGACATGAGTTTAGAGACAATTGAAAAATTCCCAATGCAAGTCTTATGCCTCGTTAACTCAATTAACTTTACGTCCAAACTTGAAAAGTCAATTATGGGTATGAGCCTCAATGCAACTCTAAACTCCCTCAAAATTGACATCAGCAACTTTTCAATTATGCTGCAAAATTCCTCAAATTCATTAACTCAATTAAAAATCCGATCATTGCTGTTTGACTTGGTCTATCACGTGACAACTGTTGAATATCTTATAAGACACAATGTAACAAACTTAAATGATTGGCATTGGCTGCAACAAATTAAATTTTATTACAACACAAGAAATGAAGTTGTGTCCATAAAAGTTGTGAATGCTGAGTTTGAATATTCTTATGAGTATCTTGGAAATTACAATAAACTTGTTTACACGTCGCTGACTCACAACTGCTACTTGACACTGACTCAAGCGATGTATTTAGGACTTGGAGGTAATCCATTCGGACCAGCTGGAACAGGAAAAACTGAATGTGTTAAGTCACTCGGTGCAATGATGGGACGAATGGTGCTCGTCTTTAATTGCAATGAGAATATCGATACATCAGCTATGGCATTGATATTGACTGGAATTTCAAGATGTGGAGCTTGGGCTTGTTTTGATGAGTTTAATAGGTTGCAAGAGGAAACATTGTCGGCTATAGCTATGCTTATTCAGCCGTTGCAGATTGCGTTGAAGGAGAAGCAAGAAGTTGTGCATATGTTGGACAAGAATGTGAGTATTTTGGATGTTGAGGTTATGTCAAGAGGATTTAATGCTACCTGTCTCAAAAAATGGCCAAATTCCTTTGTAATGTTTGTTAAGCTCTTATTTGGTGCTGAATATTTGGCTTTACTTTAAAATTTACGGCTATTCACCTTTTAAGTGCGAAAACTTTATAACTTAATGTCAAAACTGCATTATGAATCTACAGCTAACAATTTGTTCCTAATTTTCTACCACAATTCTCTTTCAGATCCCCCTGAACCGCCACTCATGCATATTTGTAACACTAAATCCAGCTGATGAAGACTATGGAGGCAGAAATCAATTGCCATCTAATTTGCAAGCATTGTTCCGACCAATTGTGATGCAGCAACCAGAACCAAAAGAGATTGCTAAAGTTATGCTGTTCATTGAAGGATTTAAGTTTGCTGAGGAAATTGGAAAGCGGATTGTTGAGTTGTTTGACTTGTCAAAGTAAGTATTTTAAATGATCCAAGGGGGATAACAACATGATGGGAAAAGTTTATTTCGGGAAATTTATACTTTTTTACCACTACCTACCAAAGTTTTTAAATCTTTAGAAAATTTTCTATCATTTTTTTTTCCATTATGTTGTTGTCCCCTTTCAATTAATCTTTTAATCCAACCCCAAAAATATTAAACTTACATTCTAACCCTTCAGCAAACTCTTATCACCTCAACGTCACTACGACTGGGGTCTTCGAGAACTCAAAACCGTCCTTAGTGCTTGTGGAAAAGCTCTATCCACAGCTCTTACTTCTCAGCAAGATCTAAAAATAAAAGATGAGATGGAAATTGTCGTTCAGTCTCTTAAACCAAACGTGATGTCAAAATTGACAAGAAATGATTGCAAACGATTTGAAATGTTGCTAGAAGATGTTTTTCCACAGCTGAATATATCAGGTGATGCACATGAAGAGTTTAAAGTAAAAATAGAGGAGACATTCCAAGTGATGGGACTGTCTAGAAATGAGAGACAAATTGATAAATGTATTGAGCTTTATGAGCAATTAAGGAAGAGAATTGGTGTTGCTGTGTATGGTCCACCAAGTTCTGGCAAAAGTACAGTCATATCTGTCCTTAAAACAGTTCTTATGTCGATGCATAAAACCATAAGAACTTATATAATCTCCCCAAAATCTATGGAACGTTCACAACTTCTCGGTAAGCTTGATATCAACACAAGACAATGGTACGATGGTGTCTTAACTCAAACTGCAATAGCAGTCAACAGTGAACCACTTGATGTAACATCATGGATCATTTGTGACGGTGATGTCGATCCTGAATGGATTGAAGCTTTAAATTCAGTGTTGGATGACAATAAGCTTCTCACATTGCCATCTGGCTGGAGAATTCAGTTTGGCAGCAACGTAAATTTCATTTTTGAGACGCATGACTTGGTCAATGCATCTCCTGCGACTATTTCTCGCATGGGAATCGTTAAATTTAGTCCTGAAGATTTGCCACCCATGTCAATTGTTGATTCATGGACATTAAAGCATCAGAATAATGACACGATGAAATTGATGGTTGAGAAGTATTTTGAGAATGTGCTGAGTAATTTTGAGGATGTGTCTAGACTGTGAGTAGACTTTTTGTTAAAAGTAAAATTCAAGGCCATATCAACATGATGGGAACCTAACGTTAATGCTTGTTATTTCTTTCAGGTCTCCTCTATTCCCAAGAATATCGATAGTCCGAAACATCCTTAATGTTATGCCTAATGTAGATTCACAAGATGAATTTGTTGTTGAATTAATAAAGTCACTAAATGCAATGGTTGATCCAAAAGACAGAAATAAGTTCTCAAATACGGTAAGTGATGACTCCACATGTCCAACTATCTTCCAAACCCTAAAAACTCATTTCCATTTCAGATTCTGGATCAATATAACGTTTACACAAGCAATCCAAATCAAGCTGAGTATCTCTACTTTAATAAATTCCGTAACATCGTCGACACATACTCATCTGACGACATATCAAGTGTATCAAGCAACAACAATAACCAAGAATATGCCACAACTCTTTTTAAAACAGCATCTGTTAAATCCTCATGTGATTTATTGAGGAACATTCTCAAAAATCTCGATAAGCCATCATTCATCCTGTCAGGACCAAGTGGAAATGGCAAGAGTTTAATGATAAATTCTATTGTCGCTGAATTTTCGGGTTATCAATTAGTCACGATCAATTGCAGTGCACAGCTGAATGCCAATCAAGTTTTACAAATTTTGAAACAAAATTGTCTGGTTATATCCGGAATTCGTGGAAAGGAATATAAGCCAAAGCAATCGAGGTTGATTCTATTCATGAAAAACATTGATTTATGTCCGATTGATTCATGGGGAACGAGTGAGGTCATTGAACTTTTGCTGCAAATTATTAATAGAAGTGGATTTTATTCTGAGAATTTGGAATGGATTAGCATCAGTGGACTACAGGTTTGTGGGACTTTGATGGACATAACGAAGCAGAATTTGTCAACTAGATTCTTATCCAAATGCAATATAATTTTGACTAATTATCCGAATGAACACGACATGCAGAACATCATCACGAACTTTTTAAGCTTTATATACAGCAAGTTTAAAATTTCTATGAAAAAAGAGCAAATGTGTGAAGTCATGCTGGAGATTTACAAGGAAATTAAAATAAATTTTACAGCAGACTTGAGCAATCACTACAAATTTACACCCAAAATGATAGAGGAATGGGTCATTGGACTTACGCATTATCCAAATGACAATAACTTTTATTATGGTTTTTTTTATGAACTGTCAAAGATTTTTGGCGATCGACTGATGACTATTGAACATGAAATGATATTCAGTGATATAATCATGCACAACTTGAAGTACTTCAACATCAAATACGACGCAAATGAGACATTTTTCATCCAGAACTCAGCAGCCTCTTCGCAGTTACAAATGATTGATGCTAAAAATTGGAAGGAAATGATCGAGAAAAATTTACCAATTTGTAATTCTGAAGCTGCAATTATTGACTTGCCTGTGACTAATGAGCTGATGAAGTCAGTTGCTTCTATGGTTCGAGCATTAAGTCGTCCGGGAACCAACATTTGTCTTGCTGGAAAATTAGGATCTGGAAGATTCGAGTCAACTGTTCTTGCTTGCACTTTGCTGAATGTCAAGATGTTCTATCCACAAGTCACTAAGAATTATTCATTAAATGAGTTTGTCAATGATTTAAGACTTGTCATGCAAACTTGTGGACTTGAAAATGAAGTTGCTGTTTTTTACATCGACCAAGTTTGGATCAGCTATTTCCCAGATCTTTTGAAGTCTTGTGAAGCTATTTTGGAGGACAGCTTCTTTGCAAATGAGAATTTGTTTGGAGAAGATTTAGAGACAGTCGCTAATTCATTGAAGGGAGCAGCTCAACTTGAGGGATATCAGGATAGTTTGGTGTCATTCTTTTTGAATCGTAAGTCCATATATGCTGGGTTTACTCTAAGGCAGGTTCGTAGCCAGGAGGGTATTGTCCCCCGCTTAAGCGTTTTAGGCCGTGCTCTTGCTGCGGTTCAAAACGTTTAAGGGGAGGCAATACCCTTGTGGATACGCGCCTATTCTAAGGTACTATAGTCCTAAATTATAGATATGTTTTGACCATAGCAACCCAATATGTCCTACATGAGAAGCTTTCCCTTTGTATCTTTTCAGGTGTGAAAAAGAACCTCCACTTAGTCGTCTCTCTAGAAACCACAACATCATCATTCCAAGAAATTCTCAAAACCTTCAAATCGCTCTACACAAAAACAGAATTCATATGGCTGCAGGACATTTCAGTTCACACGAAGCTAATCATTTGTGAAAGTGTAATAAGGTTGATGAAAAATGACTCAAACTTAACCAGCAATGCTGAATTGTCTACAAAATATTATGAGAATGTCATTAATGAATGTGGATTGTGGATAGACTCACCGAAAAGATCAATACAGCTTATTAAGAGTTATTACTTGATCCATATGCAGACTGAGAAGAAGAAAATGAGCAGCAAGACGAAACTCGAGTTGGGCATCCAAAAATTATCTGATGCTTATAAGTATGTTGCAAAATTAAAGGATGATGCTAAGGAGAAAGAAAAAGCATTAGCTGAAAAACGACAGCTAGCAAATCAAGCACTTGAAATGATATCCACAACCATGAAAAGCGCAAATGACCAAAAAACGGACATGCTAAAACTGAAATCAAAAACTGAAGAAAATGGAGAAATTTTAAAGCAAAGAAAAGTTGAAATTGAGAAGGAACTAAGTCTTGTTGAGCCTTTGCTGAAAGAAGCTAGTGCTGCAGTTGGTCAGATCAAGACAGAAGCACTGTCAGAGATTCGATCACTTCGAGCACCTCCAGAAACTATTCGAGACATTCTTGAAGGTGTTTTAAGGTTGATGGGTATCAGAGATACATCCTGGAACAGCATGAAATCATTCTTAGCTAAGAGAGGTGTCAAGGAAGACATCAGATCCCTAAATCCAAGCTTGATTAGTCCTGAAAATTGCACAGAAGTCGAACGATTAATCATAAATAAATCTGAATCTTTTGATCCAAGAAATGCAAAAAGAGCATCAACAGCAGCAGCTCCACTAGCATCTTGGGTACTTGCCTGTGTGAAATATTCAAAAGTCATACAGAGCATTAAGCCACTTGAATTGGAACAGAATGAACTTGAGAAGAATTTAAAGAAAACTGAGAATCAAATGAAGTCGCTTTCGTCAGGCATTGATGATGTAAATGTCAAGGTTAAGGAATTGTCTGAGCAACTTAATGGATATACACAAGAAGCCGCTGTGCTTGAGATTAAGCTTGAAGAAACTAGAAAGACCTTAAAATCAACAGAAGTTTTGGTTGAAAAATTAAGTTCTGAGTATAATAATTGGACAACGGAATTAACAGCTATAAATTCAGAAATTAAGGATCTAGACAAAGAGTCATTCATGATTGCTTTATGTCTGACACATTTCTCTCACATGCTGGAAGAAGAAAGGACGAAGTTTTTAGCAAATATCAGCGAATCCTTAAGAAAGAAGTTTGAACTCCTCAATGTCATTTATACCGACCAGGACAAGCTTGTTTGGGAAAGTTTAGGGCTTTCATCAGACAAACAGTCAATAGAAAATGCAGCATTAATTACAAAGTGCTTACAACTCCCATTTACATCAGCCCCAATCCCACTTTTATTAGATCCAACAGCCAGTGCCTCAAAATGGCTTAACGAGTTCCTCAAATCAAAATCTATAAAGTTTGAGATTCTTAACCAAAACGACGACCGATTCACTTACAATTTGGAGCTGGGCGTTAGATTTGGGAAGGTTCTGATCATCGATGACGTCACACAGAACTTTACAGCTTCTCTGCTGTCACTATTGTCGATGAAAATTCATTCAAGATTCAACAAGAAGATGCTGCACATTGGAAACAAATTGATTGACTTGCATGAAGATTTTCGATTAATTCTAGTCACATCCAATGACATTAAGCACCTAAGTGGAGAAATTAATGCGAATGTTACAATAATTCCATTCACTTTAACAGCATCAGGATTGACTGACCAACTTCTGTCCAAATGGATATCCATAAAGCATCCAGAGACGGAACAAAAGCGAATCCAATTACTGCAAAATGAGGGAAAGCTGATGCAAGAGAAAATTCATCTTCAAGATAAGCTGTTGGAGGAACTTTCACACGCAGAAGGTGACATACTGAAAAATGAGAAACTTCTAGCGACTCTAAATCAAATTAAAGAAAGCAGCACTGACATTGAAAAGTCACTGAACGAGAGTCATGAAGTTAGAATTAAATTACTGGAAAATTACAATGAGTATAAAGACATTTGCAGTCAGTCAGCGACTTTTTATGTCGGAATGTCTAAAATTTATGAATTACATCCAAAATCGTTCACGAAAATATTTTTGGAAGTTCTGGATAAGCAGAAAGATTATGGAGATCTTACAGATCCGTTTGTTGAAATTGTCAAGAAGACATACTTAATGCTGAATAGGTCAATTAAAAAATCTGAGCAGGCACAGTTGGGCTTGAATGTCTGCAGATGTGCTTTTAGGAAGAAAATCTCGGACGTCGAATGGGAAATGTTTATATTCAATTTTGCTGATTCAGACACGACTGTGGACTCAAGCATCCCAAGGTGGGTCAAGAAGGAACTGATTCCAAAACTGTCGAATCTAAAGATGCAGCATTCAGCATTTTATCAGAAGCTGAACCTTGACAACGACTTTGAATGGCAAAATTTCATCGATGCTGCTGAAAATGTGCAAAAAAGCTTTCCAAACATCCAATTGACTGATTTCCAAAGATTATTGGTCTACCAAATATTCAGACCTGATCAGCTTGTTACCATCATCAATGAAGCAACAGCAAATATGCTTAATCTTAAGTATGACTCATTCACACAGTCTGGAATCAAGCAATTGTTGACAGAAGTTGAAAGTACGGAACCAATTTTGGTTGTGGCTGCAAATGGAGCAGATCCAACAAATGAAATTAAAGATTATGTCAAGTCTATTGGAAATATCAGTAACTTTATTGAAATTTACGTTGGAAAAGGTCAGGAAGTCCACAACATGTCTACAGTCTTAACTGGAGCTGAAGATGGCAAAATTGTTTGTGTCAAGAATGTGCATCTGATGCCACAGTTCATGCAGACTATTGAATTAAAAATGAAGTCAACTAACATCAGTGCTCAGTTCAGATTGATCTATGTCTGTGAAAGTGACAAAAACATGCCTAAGCATCTAGTCAATAAATGCAAGAAACTTCTAATTGAGCCACCGAATGGAATTAAGCATAAAATATTCAATCTACTAGAACAGCATCAAGCTATTGTTCGTGAAAATAGAGATTTTAGACATATGAAGCTGTATATAGCATTGTTCATACTGCATTCAATTTTGCAGGAAAGGAGGTCGTTTATTACACAAGGTACGTAGATCAGACTCATTTGTATGCTGTTTTCATAAATAATCTTCCTTTCAGGTTGGTGCAAATGGTATGAATTTGGAGATGCTGATGTGAAAGCTGCAATTGATTTCATTACAGCAGTTAATGGAAAATCGTATAATGTAGATTGGACTATCCTGAAAGGTCTAGTAGAAAAGATTGTGTACGGAGGACGGGTTGACAACAATCAAGATTTTGAGGTAAGTTTACAAATTCAATCTAATTCTAATCTAGATCCAAAATATCAAATCTTCAATAATTCCAGAAAATAATCTTAATGATAAACGAATACTTTGACGCAAAAGTCATGAACGCAAAGTGGACACCAAAATCATTCAACATCACCATTCCAAATGCTAACAGTATTGAGGAATATCAGAATGCATTGATGAAAATGGAAGGAAATGACACAAAACCTGAAATGTTTGGATTGTCATCAGCATCGTCTATATCTAGAAACATTACGATTTGCAGGAATTTGTTGAAAGATTTGAGAAAAGTTCACTTTAACATTGACGAGAGTGAGAATTATGAGAAGAGGATAAAGCCATTGATGATCATGTGGAAGAAGTTTATGAATGTAAGTAGATCTTGATTGGGTTTTCTGGGGTTAGATCCTAACCAGAGGCTAGGGCCTTTCCTGTTGAGTTACACTTAACCTGGTTTCCTTGGACTAGACTTGGACTCGTTATGCCAAACCTAGCTCCTAACTTTAATTTACTCATTCATTCTTAACCTTCCCAAATTCCAGGTTGCAAACATCGACTCCCTCAACAAAATCAAGGAAGAATCAATCTCAGAAGTCAATCCATGGCGGCTGTTCAAAACATCTGAAATAATCTTAGCTAACAATCTATCCAGAAAGATCAGTGAAACATTAGCTAAATTCACCACAATCGATTTGAATTCGATTTCTGATTCTGACAAGAATGTTCTTTTAGTCTTAAGTGACAATTCAGTTCCTTATGAATGGCGTAAAATGTGGCAAGGACCGAAATTGGCATCTGAATTCTTAAAATCAGTTTCTGTGAGGATTCAGACTGTCTCGAAATTTTTAAACAGCTTGGATGCATCAATTGATGAAGTCGATTTCTCGAAAATCTTTAATGTTGATTCATTTTTGTCGACTGTTAAGCTAGTGACTTCAAGAGATATGCAGGTATCCACTAGTGACTTAGTTATGGAGTCATTCACAGATGAGATGAAGTTTGAATCCACAAAACATCAGAAAAATAAAATTATTAAAGTCGCGCCACTTCAAGTCGATGGACTAAGCTTTGAGAACAACATGCTGTCAACATCTGATCACTTTAAAGCTGGAAATTTGACAAACAACATCTTCATATACTTTAAAGAAACAGTCAAAGGAAATCCTGATGATGATCCACATATTTATCCAATACCTTTATACTCAACTTATATACGTGAAAAACTTTTGTGCACAATTAATTTGAATACACGCCTTGACAAGAATGATATAATATATTCAGGCACAGCACTTATTGTTCCCAATAACTAAACTGGAACAAATGAAATATAAATTACAAACAATTTGCTCAAAATTCAAAGATTTATTGAGTAATAGAATTTTATGGGGAATGAAAAATGTCTTTGGAATGTCGAATATTTATGGCAATGATTTTTTTGGGAATATATAAAGTTATGGATTGGAATGTGCACAGGAAAAATAATGATAAAAGAAATAATAAAAAGAATTTGATGTAACCAGATGGAATGTTTGAGGTTTTCAATAAGTTTTGATGATTTTCGAGAGTTAATGAAGCTGCACAGTAAGAATTAAGCGAACATTTGGATGCTAAAACTAGCTATTACTTTTCAAAATACAATATTGATGATATGAGCATTTTAGTGGTTTTAAAATTTTCTACTTTTTGTGTAGTTGCTTGCCCCTTTAGTTTATTTTCAAATTTCGCCTGGTTTGAAGAAAAAAATTCAGACAAAATGCTTTAACTTAATTATTAGACATCAAAACAACACTTTCTCTTGCTGTTGTGATCAGTTTTGATGTAGGAAACATCAGTAAGGCGTTAAAACAATAAATATTGGACGTATTACTTCGAAATTTTCTACTTTTTTGCTTAAAAAAAACTTTAAGCCTCATTAAAATTTCATTCCATCAACTCCATAAAAACCTCCATTCCCTTCCCATCATTTCATTATCCATCAAACTCTTTTTCAAGATGTGAAATTCTCAATTTAGATTCGTCAAATTCGGCATATTCATCGGCAGTAGCTTCTTGATATTGTTGATATTCAGATATCAAATCATTCATATTGCTTTCAGCTTCTGTAAATTCCATCTCATCCATTCCCTCGCTCGTGTACCAATGAAGGAAAGCTTTACGACGGAACATACATGTAAATTGCTCAGAAATTCTACGGAAAAGCTCTTGGATGGCAGTTGAGTTGCCAATAAATGTAGCAGACATTTTGAGACCTTTTGGTGGAATGTCACAAACGGCTGTCTTTACATTATTTGGAATCCATTCCACAAAGTAACTGCTGTTCTTATTCTGAATGTTAAGCATTTGTTCGTCAATTTCCTTCATTGACATCCGACCACGAAAAATTGCAGCAACTGTCAAATAACGTCCATGTCGTGGGTCACAAGCTGCCATCATGTTCTTTGTATCAAACATTTGTTGTGCTAATTCTGGGACGGTTAATGCGCGGTAGTGCTGTGAACCTCGAGAAACAAGTGGAGCAAATCCAGGCATAAAGAAATGAAGACGTGGAAATGGAACCATATTGACTGCCAATTTTCTTAAATCAGCATTAAGTTGTCCTGGGAAACGAAGACATGTTGTGACACCAGACATGGTGAGAGATACAAGATGATTAAGATCACCATATGTTGGCGTTGTAAGCTTTAAAGTTCTGAAACAAATGTCATAAAGTGCTTCATTGTCGATACAATATGTTTCATCTGTATTCTCGACTAGCTGATGAATACTCAATGTTGAATTGTAAGGTTCAACGACTGTATCTGAGACTTTTGGTGAAGGAACGACACTGAATGTGTTCATAATTCTGTCTGGATATTCTTCACGTATCTTTGAGATTAAAAGTGTTCCCATTCCACTTCCAGTTCCACCACCAAGTGAATGAGTCAATTGAAAGCCTTGTAAGCAGTCACATCCTTCCGTTTCCTTTCTTACGACATCCAAGACTGAATCAACCAGTTCAGCACCTTCAGTGTAATGTCCTTTGGCCCAATTATTTCCAGCACCAGATTGACCAAAAACAAAATTATCAGGACGAAATAGACGTCCAATTGTTGACATACGAAGACTTTCAATCGTTCCCGGTTCCAAATCAACCAAGATGGCACGTGGAACAAATTTACATCCGCCCGTTGCCTCATTATAATACACATTGATTCGCTCCAGTTGCAAATCGGAATCGCCTTTATAATTTCCACATACATCAATTCCGTGCTCTTCTGATATTATTTCCCAAAACTGGAAAGAAACAAAAGAAATGATCGAAAATAATTTGTAAAATTAAATCGATTTTAAAGATCACGAAAGATTTATGAACAATTTGAATAATAATGAAAGTCGTGCCGCGCCTTTTTAATATTTTATGTACTGCTTGTCTGATTTGATTGTTTTGTGCTACACACGCAACGTTTTTCTGCTTCTTAAATTCGTATGTGAATGAGTATGGAAAGATTTAAATTGAAATCTTGATGAAAATCGATTAGATAAGGTACTTTATGTAGCAAGTCAAATGAATTATTACTCAATTTGTTGTTTTTGCAGACAGCTTTGGAGTGTATTGTAGAAAGTTTGCATGCAAATTTGTTATTCAATTTTTAATGTTTAGCGATAATGGAACTGAAGAATTTGAAAATTGTTGGAACTATAAAATTGTTGAATAATTGCATTGAAGATACATCCTGGTCTTAATAATTAAGGGAGTGGAACTCATCAGACTGACTGGGTCTGGTTATTCTTGAGAGACACAAGGTAGTCGATGGTATTGATATGGAATGGAAATTGACTCATTACTGGCTACTAAATAGATCCTTTTAACCACCAAGATTAAAGACAGAACATGAAATAATATATTTTATTCAATTTTACTTTGGGGCCTCTCAAGAATGAAGTCTAGGAGGGGGGAGGGGGGTCATTAAAAAAGAACAATAGAAATTCCTGGAAATCCATTGTTCATTTTTGAAAAATGACCGTTAATTTTGGAGATCATAAGTGAACAACCCCTTTTAAAAATTCTAATTTCAAAGAATATTAAGAATTTTAAGTAACGGCTTAACTTAAATCGTCATTCACTCATTTTTAAACTTCGAAATTATTATTCAAATCTTGCAAAACTCCTGACACACAGATAAAGCAATAGATTTTAAATGTAAAACTAAAATATCCTTAATCATTCATAGGTTCAAATCCTAATTAGTCTAAAATTTTCAATGAACTTTAAAAAAAAGTTTGTACTTCTTTTTTGCATCACTTGTAAATTTTCAAACACCAAATTTTTTACCTTAGCACCGATTTGATTTCCACATTGACCAGCCTGAATGTGAACAATTTCTCTCATTTTTAAAACTTAGATAATCCAACTGTGTTCTCAAATGTATTCCTTTTATATTTTTCACTTTATTCCCAACTTTACTTCACTTTAACAAGAATCAGAATAAAGACTGAACCGATCGCAGCATAGATCACTCGTTCTTATACTTCATCTGTGCTCATTCAGATGGAAATTATGGCACATTCAATTTTCATTTAAAGAACAATTGTGTCTATACGACAGTGACATAATAAGATGATGATTTTTTTTTGTAATAATTTATTGAAAAGTTCATTTTTTTATGTAATATTGGGCTTCTCGTCATCAATGATGCTGTCTACACCCTCATAGTTATCTTGATCTGTTGAGTAGTGGATTTTATGATGATCTCGTAGTTCACTGAGTAGTCTGAATGAGTCTTTGCATCCTGGAAAGTCACAAATGTATGTATTCTCTCCAACATGTATCCTTTTATGCTTGTTAAGGTCTCCGTTTTGGGCAAAGGCTTTTGGACAGAATGGGCACTTGAAGGGCTTTTCACCTGAGATAATTATTAAGAATTAGAGCTGATTAGAACTTTCGTGCTGGTTAGAAGAAAGTCTGGAAGATTTAAGCGAGTTTTCCTATTGAAAACTCTCTAATCGACAAATCTTATGGCAACAGACCCACTCCATAAAACCAAAATCATCAACATTCGTACCTGTATGAGTCCTTACATGCCTCTTTAAGTGATCAGATGAGTAAAATCGCATAGAACACAATTCACACTATAAATTGAATAGCAAGTGATGCATGATAATAATTGAAACAATAAATCATAGATACACTTACTGAATAGGGACGATCCCCAGTGTGTATTCGATTGTGCTTGACTAACGAGAATGACTGAGTAAATCGTGATCCGCATACATTACAGACGTATGGCTTAGCATTTTGGTGTGTTATCATATGTGCTTTAAGATTGCCTTTGCTTATGAATTTTGATGGACATTGGGGGCATGAGAATGGTTTGACACCACTATGACGTAGGAGGTGCTGTCTGAGGTTGCTGGAAAAAATGTGTGTTTAGTGGTTTTATGAAATTTTATTGTAACTTTGTTGACTAACCTATTGCGGTTAAAGCTTTTTCCACATTCGGTACATAGGAAGCTCTAGAAAATTAATAAATCTGGTTTTAGTTCCAAATAGCAATCAGGCACTAGTTTCATACCTTTTCTTCCGAATGAGTGTCCAAATGAACCTTCAACTTTGATGCCTGATGATAAGATTTCCCACAAATATGGCACGTGTGAGGTCGAAATCCTTTATGTCTATTCAAATGCTCAATTAGCTCAGGTCCAAGTGCGAACGTTTTGTTACAAATCTTGCATAAATGTGTCTTGTTCTCGTCATGCTTCTTCAAATGCCTGACTAGTGCCACAAACTTATCAAAACTTTTGTTACATTCAATGCATTGATTTGAGTCAGTCTCAAAATTAATTTTATGTTCTCTCATGTGTTCGTCTAGCTCCTGTTTGTCACTTACAACCTCTTTACAAATTATGCATCGGTAAGCACTTTCGTCTTTGATTTGCGTTATAAGATCAGAATGAATTATTTCGTGTTTTAGTAGCTGCATTTCTGAGAGAAATTTCCTCTTACATGTTGAGCATTCATGGAGTCTTACTTTTGTGGAATGAGTTTTCATGTGATCAGACAGTTTCCTTTTAGTGGGGAAGTGTTTATCGCATTTTGAACATGAATTTTCATCAGATTCTTCATCACTGGATGCTGTTATAAATCCTTCATATGCCTCACTTAATAATACATCGACATGATCATTTGACTCAATTTCTAATGCTGAATAATCTTCATCCAGTTCCTTCTGTGCCTCATCATTGTCTATTTCCAGTTCATTTATTATAATTTCTTCATACTGATCCTCATCATGTTTAATGTTCTGTTGAAGCGTTTTTAGTTGATATTCAGCACTTGACACTATTGTTTCACGAAACCTTAAGTATTCCTTGCATTGGCTTTTACAGGAAGAGCAGATATTCTTGGATAGTAAGTCTAATTCATCAATTTGTATTTCATTTCCTGCTATATTTGCTATAATTTCAGTAAATTTAATATTTGTTCCTTCACAGACATCGAATATTGAACAGAGCTGTAGATTCTCTGCTAAACAAAACCGACAGATGCTTAGGAAATCCATTTCATGTCTAGTTATTTTAATTTTAATGGATTTTTGTTGCAATTTTGATTTGTTATGATTTGAGAGGGGGTTGTTACTTTAGTAAACAAATCCGTTTTGAGATTTGAATTTCAAAAAACCGTTATTAACTTCATTCATTGTATTAAAATTGAATTAGATCATCTATCTCCAAAACAACATCATTTAATGTTATCATCTCTCTTTATTGATGCATTCAATATGAAAAAATAAATTTAAATTAAATTCAAAAAAATTTGTATTTGTCAGGAAAACATGATAAATCAAGCAAATTTGTCATCAAGCTAAAACAATTATGATTCATGAAGAGATTCGACTTATTACTTCTTCTTTACAACAAAGAATACTGACGAGTATTCCAGTCGGGCCATTGATAATTCATTTTGTGAATATTTTGTTCGCACGTTCTTATCTTCTTTTAAATACTCAAATCCAACAGTTTGAATAATAGCACGAATATCTTCGTATGATGGTTCAATGCTAAGTTCGCTGGGCATGTCACAGAAGTGATAAAGCAATGGACCCAAGTTAATCCAAATTCCACCGGGTTTCAGGAGTTTATAAATGATTTCAATAAAGTCAACAATGTTATTTGCACAATCGATGAAGAAGCATGTAGCTACGCAGTCCCATTCGCTGAATTGAGAAGATTGTCCATAAACTTGAATGAAATCACCGGCAATCATGTTCATTTCACCTAAAATAGAGCATATAAGTAAAAGTTTATAATATTAAGCATGTCTGGGTACCTCTTGGTGGATTCTGATACGGAGACACATCCGGAAATGTACATGACAACAGTGGATCTTTACGATTGAGATTGTTCATGAAATTATGACAGTATGGGAAGAATTCATGGACATTATTCATCAGACATCGATTGAGCAAGAAATTTGACACGATCAGCATAAATAATGAAAATTCATTTCCTTCGCAATAGAATCCACGCAACGAAATTTCGTAAACCAAACGAGCAAGTCCAGCACCAGGAACTAGCACTCTAAGTTGATTCTTGTCCATGCTATTGATATCAAAATATTGAGTCAGCTCGTCTAAAATCGGCTTATAGGATTGATCTCGTTCCTCAGCTCCTAAATCCGTCCAATCGCGTACAATCTGCTTTAACGTGATAATTACTTTGTCATTATCTGGATCAGCAATTTTTAGTATCTCTTCAGGCTCAACAATGTCATTTTTAGAATTAACAAACAGCGAATCCACTCCACTTAGGAACTTCTCAATTATCCTTTGATTTTGTTCTACGCATTGCTTAGAAGAGTTCAGTGTCTTTTTGTATTTTTCTAGCATCTGTTGTTGTCTGATTGGTAGCGTCGTAAGGAAGCATAATCTTTGGTCAATTCTTGCAAAACAATTTCTTTTGTAATTCTTAAAGCTACTGATTACTTTAATGAAATTAGCTCGTTCCGTTTCGTCAAAATACTTCTCGTCATCTTCTTGATCGAGAGAATTGTGATTCATCTTCGCTCTGCTTTAAATTGCGACTGCAGCTTGAAGATAAACTTAAATAAATTAAAAAGTAATGAAAAATGAGAAAATAAACAATTTGTTGATCAACAATCTTCTCAGAGGGGAGTGGAACTTTTTGGAGCAGTATTTTGAATAAATTGTGACGGTTGTGATGTTATAGGGATTTGAAAAACTTTTAGACGTTGAATGGATTTTTAATAAAATTTTCAGATAATTTGTGATCAATTTTAACTGAAAGCGAGAAAAAAAAATCGCATCAAAAGTGCGTTCAGAAAAATGACGCGAAAAAGTTTTGCATCAAAAATATGTTCAGAAAAAAGAAGCAAATGTATTTTACTTCAAAAGTACGTCTAGCAAAGAATTGATACGATAAATAATAGTGAACCAGCCTCGATCAGAAGCCACATTGCACTGTATGCACAAACTAATTCCAGAAATTCATTATGATAAGCTGAAAAAAAAGAGCAACAAGATCTCCACATTTTCTCACATACATTCATCATTCAACAGACAGTAGAAGGAAAAGAAAACACAATTCGCGTACTGTGTCTAAAAATAACTCAAGAGAAGACAATATTTTCTGGATGTACGATATACGCACATAAGAGAGTCGCTCAAGATCTTAATAAGAAAATTGCTGTCTAAATTGATAAATAAGAGAAATATTTCAGTTCTCTAGAGTCTGCGGTGCCGTCAACATGAAATTATTAAGTTCTATCAATATGCATCAGCGTAAGTCACATTGTGTATCCAAATTCGACCCAAATGTAATTGATTAATTATAGTAAAGCAAATCAGAAGCTACAGTGCAGCAGCTCAAAACTTCCGAGCGATTTTACAGACACAATTGGATGACATTAAAGCTGCTGGAACCTTTAAAACTGAAAGAGTCATCACGTCTGCACAAAAATCTCAAATAACGGTCGATGGAATTCCGAAAAAAGTGATTAATTTCTGTGCTAATAACTACTTAGGTCTTAGTGCCAATGACGACATTAAAAATTATTCCAAGGAAATGGTTGACAAGTACGGACATGGATTAAGTTCTGTTAGATTCATTTGTGGAACTCAGAACATCCACAAAGAATTGGAAACTAAAATCTCTCAGTTTCATCAACGTGAAGATGCAATCCTTTATGCTGCATGCTTTGACGCAAATGCTGGTGTTTTTGAAGTCATTTTGACACCTGAAGATGCAGTCTTTTCAGACGAACTGAATCACGCGAGTATTATTGACGGACTGAGACTGTGTAAGGCACAAAAGCAACGATACCTACACAGAAATATGAATGACCTTGAAGAGAAATTAAAAGCATCAGACGCAAGAGTTAAATTAATTGTAACAGACGGAGTATTTTCTATGGATGGAAATATCGCCCCTCTGCCTGAAATCATTAATTTGGCAAAAAAATACAATGCGATCACATTTGTTGATGACTGCCATGCAACTGGATTCTTTGGAAAGACAGGACGTGGAACTGAGGAGTATTATGATATGATGGGATCTGTGGACATCATTAATTCTACTTTAGGAAAGGCGTTGGGTGGTGCTATGGGTGGTGAGTTGAGTTTTTGTTAATGAACGCACTCTTGATGCAAATACCTTTTCTGAACGCACTCTTGATCCAGAAATCTTTACTGAATGCACTCTTGATGCAAAAACCTTCTCTGAACGCACTCTTGATCCAGAAATCTTTAATGAATGTTTTCTTGATGAAAAAACCTTCTCTGAACGCATTCTTGATCCAGAAATCTTTACTGAATGCACTCTCGATGCAAAATACCTTTCTGAACGTACTCTTGATCCAGATTTTTTTTACTGAATGCACTCTTGATGCAAACACCCTTTCTGCACGCACTCTTGATACAGAAATCTTTACTGAATGCACTCTTGATGCAAATACCTTCACTGAACGCACTCTTGATCCAGAAATCTTTACTGACTGCACTCTCGATGCAAAAACCCTTTCTAAACGCACTCTTGATCCAGAAATATTTACTGAATGCACTCTTGATCCAAAAACCTTCTCTGAACGCACTCTTGATCCAGAAATCTTTACTGAATGCACTCTTGGTGAAAATACCTTTCTGAACGAACTCTTGATCCAGAAATTTTTACTGAATACACTCTTGATGCAAACAACCTTTCTGAACGCACTCTTGATACAGAAATCTTTACTGAATGCCCTCTTGATGCAAATACCTTCACTGAACGCACTCTTGATCCAGAAATCTTTACTGAATGCACTCTCGATGCAAAAACCCTTTCTAAACGCACTCTTGATACAGAAATCTTTACTGAATGCACTCTCGATGCCTTTCTAAACGCACTCTTGATACAGAAATCTTTACTGAACGCACTCCTGATGCAAATAGCTTTTCTGAACGAACTCTTGATCCAGAAATCTTTACTGGGTGCACTCTTGATGCAAATACCTTTCTGAACGCACTCTTGATCCAGAAATCTTTACTGAATGCACTCTTGATGCAAAAACCTTCTCTGAACGCACGCTTGATCCAGAAATCTTTACTGAATGCACTCTTGGTACAGAAATCTTTACTGAATACACTTTTGATTCAAAAACCTTCTCTGAACGCACCCTTGATCCAGAAATCTTTACTGAATGCACTCTTGGTGAAAATACCTTCTCTGAACGCACTTTTGATCCAGAAATCTTTACTGAATGCACTCTCGATGCAAAAACCCTTTCTGAACGCACTCTTGATCCAGAAATCTTTACTGAATGCACTCTTGGTGAAAATACCTTTCTGAACGCACTTTTGATCCAGAAATCTTTACTGAATGCACTCTTGGTGAAAATACCTTTCTGAACGCACTCTTGATCCAGAAATTTTTACTGAATGCACTCTTGGTGCAAAACCTTCTCTGAACGCATTCTTGATCTAGAAATCTTCACTGCATGCACTCTCGATGCAAAAACCCTATCTGAACGCACTCTTGAGCCAGAAATTTTTCCTGAATACAATTTTGATTCAAAAACCCTTTCTAAACGCACTCTTGATACAGAAATCTTTACTGAATGCACTCTCGATGCAAAAACCCTTTCTGAACGCACTCTTGATCCAGAAATTTTTCCTGAATACACTTTTGATTCAAAAACCTTCTCTGAACGCACTCTTGATCCAGAAATTTTTACTGAATGCACTCTCGATGCAAAACCCTTTCTGAACGCACTCTTGATCCAGAAATCTTTACTGAATGCACTCTTGGTGAAAATACCTTTCTGAACGCACTCTTGATCCAGAAATTTTTACTGAATGCACTCTTGATGCAAAACCTTCTCTGAACGCACTCCTGATCTAGAAATCTTCACTGCATGCACTCTCGATGCAAAAACCCTATCTGAACGCACTTATGAGCCAGAAATTTTTCCTGAATACAATTTTGATTCAAATACCCTTTCTGAACGCACTTTTGATCCAGGAATCTTTACTGAATGCACTCTCGATGCAAAAACCCGTTTTAAACGCACTCTTGGTACAGAAATCTTTACTGAATACACTTTTGATTCAAAAACCTTCTCTGAACGCACCCTTGATCCAGAAATCTTTACTGAATGCACTCTTGGTGAAAATACCTTCTCTGAACGCACTTTTGATCCAGAAATCTTTACTGAATGCACTCTCGATGCAAAAACCCTTTCTGAACGCACTCTTGATCCAGAAATCTTTACTGAATGCACTCTTGGTGAAAATACCTTTCTGAACGCACTCTTGATCCAGAAATTTTTACTGAATGCACTCTTGGTGCAAAACCTTCTCTGAACGCATTCTTGATCTAGAAATCTTCACTGCATGCACTCTCGATGCAAAAACCCTATCTGAACGCACTCTTGAGCCAGAAATTTTTCCTGAATACAATTTTGATTCAAAAACCCTTTCTAAACGCACTCTTGATACAGAAATCTTTACTGAATGCACTCTCGATGCAAAAACCCTTTCTGAACGCACTCTTGATCCAGAAATTTTTCCTGAATACACTTTTGATTCAAAAACCTTCTCTGAACGCACTCTTGATCCAGAAATTTTTACTGAATGCACTCTCGATGCAAAACCCTTTCTGAACGCACTCTTGATCCAGAAATCTTTACTGAATGCACTCTTGGTGAAAATACCTTTCTGAACGCACTCTTGATCCAGAAATTTTTACTGAATGCACTCTTGATGCAAAACCTTCTCTGAACGCACTCCTGATCTAGAAATCTTCACTGCATGCACTCTCGATGCAAAAACCCTATCTGAACGCACTTATGAGCCAGAAATTTTTCCTGAATACAATTTTGATTCAAATACCCTTTCTGAACGCACTCTTGATCCAGAAATTTTTACTGAATGCACTCTTGGTGCAAAACCTTCTCTGAACGCATTCTTGATCTAGAAATCTTCACTGCATGCACTCTCGATGCAAAAACCCTATCTGAACGCACTCTTGAGCCAGAAATTTTTCCTGAATACAATTTTGATTCAAAAACCCTTTCTAAACGCACTCTTGATACAGAAATCTTTACTGAATGCACTCTCGATGCAAAAACCCTTTCTGAACGCACTCTTGATCCAGAAATTTTTCCTGAATACACTTTTGATTCAAAAACCTTCTCTGAACGCACTCTTGATCCAGAAATCTTTACTGAATGCACTCTCGATGCAAAAACCCGTTTTAAACGCACTCTTGGTACAGAAATCTTTACTGAATACACTTTTGATTCAAAAACCTTCTCTGAACGCACTCTTGATCCAGAAATCTTTACTGAATGCACTCTCGATGCAAAAACCCGTTTTAAACGCACTCTTGGTACAGAAATCTTTACTGAATACACTTTTGATTCAAAAACCTTCTCTGAACGCACTCCTGATCTAGAAATCTTCACTGCATGCACTCTCGATGCAAAAACCCTATCTGAACGCACTTATGAGCCAGAAATTTTTCCTGAATACAATTTTGATTCAAATACCCTTTCTGAACGCACTCTTGATCCAGAAATCTTTACTGAATGCACTCTCGATGCAAAAACCCGTTTTAAACGCACTCTTGGTACAGAAATCTTTACTGAATACACTTTTGATTCAAAAACCTTCTCTGAACGCACTCCTGATCTAGAAATCTTCACTGCATGCACTCTCGATGCAAAAACCCTATCTGAACGCACTTATGAGCCAGAAATTTTTCCTGAATACAATTTTGATTCAAATACCCTTTCTGAACGCACTCTTGATCCAGAAATCTTTACTGAATGCACTCTCGATGCAAAAACCCGTTTTAAACGCACTCTTGGTACAGAAATCTTTACTGAATGCACTCTCGATGCAAAAACCCTATCTGAACGCACTCTTGAGCCAGAAATTTTTCCTGAATACAATTTTGATTCAAAAACCCTTTCTAAACGCACTCTTGATACAGAAATCTTTACTGAATGCACTCTCGATGCAAAAACCCTTTCTGAACGCACTCTTGATCCAGAAATTTTTCCTGAATACACTTTTGATTCAAAAACCTTCTCTGAACGCACTCTTGATCCAGAAATCTTTACTGAATGCACTCTCGATGCAAAAACCCGTTTTAAACGCACTCTTGGTACAGAAATCTTTACTGAATACACTTTTGATTCAAAAACCTTCTCTGAACGCACTCTTGATCCAGAAATCTTTACTGAATGCACTCTCGATGCAAAAACCCGTTTTAAACGCACTCTTGGTACAGAAATCTTTACTGAATACACTTTTGATTCAAAAACCTTCTCTGAACGCACTCCTGATCTAGAAATCTTCACTGCATGCACTCTCGATGCAAAAACCCTATCTGAACGCACTTATGAGCCAGAAATTTTTCCTGAATACAATTTTGATTCAAATACCCTTTCTGAACGCACTCTTGATCCAGAAATCTTTACTGAATGCACTCTCGATGCAAAAACCCGTTTTAAACGCACTCTTGGTACAGAAATCTTTACTGAATGCACTCTCGATGCAAAAACCCTTTCTGAACGCACTCTTGATCCAGAAATTTTTCCTGAATACACTTTTGATTCAAAAACCTTCTCTGAACGCACTCTTGATCCAGAAATCTTTACTGAATGCACTCTCGATGCAAAAACCCGTTTTAAACGCACTCTTGGTACAGAAATCTTTACTGAATACACTTTTGATTCAAAAACCTTCTCTGAACACACTTTTGATCCAGAAATCTTTACTGAATGCACTCTCGATGCAAAAACCCGTTTTAAACGCACTCTTGGTACAGAAATCTTTACTGAATACACTTTTGATTCAAAAACCTTCTCTGAACGCACCCTTGATTCAGAAATCTTTACTGAATGCACTCTTGGTGAAAATACCTTCTCTGAACGCACTTTTGATCCAGAAATCTTTACTGAATGCACTCTCGATGCAAAAACCCTTTCTGAACGCACTCTTGATCCAGAAATCTTTACTGAATGCACTCTTGGTGAAAATACCTTTCTGAACGCACTCTTGATCCAGAAATTTTTACTGAATGCACTCTTGGTGCAAAACCTTCTCTGAACGCATTCTTGATCTAGAAATCTTCACTGCATGCACTCTCGATGCAAAAACCCTATCTGAACGCACTCTTGAGCCAGAAATTTTTCCTGAATACAATTTTGATTCAAAAACCCTTTCTAAACGCACTCTTGATACAGAAATCTTTACTGAATGCACTCTCGATGCAAAAACCCTTTCTGAACGCACTCTTGATCCAGAAATTTTTCCTGAATACACTTTTGATTCAAAAACCTTCTCTGAACGCACTCTTGATCCAGAAATTTTTACTGAATGCACTCTCGATGCAAACCCTTTCTGAACGCACTCTTGATCCAGAAATCTTTACTGAATGCACTCTTGGTGAAAATACCTTTCTGAACGCACTCTTGATCCAGAAATTTTTACTGAATGCACTCTTGATGCAAAACCTTCTCTGAACGCACTCCTGATCTAGAAATCTTCACTGCATGCACTCTCGATGCAAAAACCCTATCTGAACGCACTTATGAGCCAGAAATTTTTCCTGAATACAATTTTGATTCAAATACCCTTTCTGAACGCACTCTTGATACAGAAATTTTTACTGAATGCACTCTTGGTGCAAAACCTTCTCTGAACGCATTCTTGATCTAGAAATCTTCACTGCATGCACTCTCGATGCAAAAACCCTATCTGAACGCACTCTTGAGCCAGAAATTTTTCCTGAATACAATTTTGATTCAAAAACCCTTTCTAAACGCACTCTTGATACAGAAATCTTTACTGAATGCACTCTCGATGCAAAAACCCTTTCTGAACGCACTCTTGATCCAGAAATTTTTCCTGAATACACTTTTGATTCAAAAACCTTCTCTGAACGCACTCTTGATCCAGAAATCTTTACTGAATGCACTCTCGATGCAAAAACCCGTTTTAAACGCACTCTTGGTACAGAAATCTTTACTGAATACACTTTTGATTCAAAAACCTTCTCTGAACACACTTTTGATCCAGAAATCTTTACTGAATGCACTCTCGATGCAAAAACCCTTTCTGAACGCACCCTTGATCCAGAAATCTTTACTGAATGCACTCTTGGTGAAAATACCTTCTCTGAACGCACTTTTGATCCAGAAATCTTTACTGAATGCACTCTCGATGCAAAAACCGGGCGTGGTCCATAGGATAGACCGGAATTTCGGCCGAAATTTCGGCCGGAATTTTTAAAATTTCCGGCCGAAATCTTAAAAATTTTCGGCCGAAACTTTTTATTTCGCCCGAAATTTCGGGTACTTTTTAAACATACCTATATTTTTTTTACAAATTTTCTTTTATTTTAACCATTTTTTATGTGTCTGTGAAGTACGCGGGAGCAAGTTGTCAGGGAGAGATGAAACTTGGCCTGGATTACGTCCATATTACGTCCATTTACGTCCCGCATTTAAATATTTTCGTCCTACTTCCTATAACTGGATATACCCCTTACAAGGTTTTGGGTATCTTTCCCGCGTACTTCACTTTTTCGGGGAGTAACTATAGGAACTAAACTCTTATGGCCAAATTATATATGAAAATCGATCTACTATTTACGTCCAATTTCGTCCTGCAAAAATTTTTGGAAATGGATATAACCTGAAAGAGTTATGGACTGTCAAAGTTTTGAACAGTACTACTTGTGGACCAATATTTTTTTCTCCAAAAACCTACCATGTTATATATCAAAACACGTCTACTTTTCCTCAGCAGCTTAAATATGATGGAATTATTTAAGTCCAACCTGTAATCCTGGACTTGTGGCAGTTCCAGTTCCATCCCCTACCTGAACATCATCAAAGTTTCAAAAATTTACTAGGATCATATTGTATGTCAAAACTTTTTCTCAGTGTTCCTAATCTGTCGATATTTTAGCTCGAATCATTCTAAATTTATATCAGTTCCTGCACATTCTAGCCTCGTACCTAAGCATGTCCAAAAATTTAAGAAAAAAATTAAGACCATGTTTTACATCAAATCATAAGTATTTTTTCCCACTTATTCAAATTAAGAGGGTTTTTTTTAATCCGAATGAGGTTTTTGGATTTATTTCAGTTTCAATGTATTTTTACCATGCCTGAACATGCTAAAATGTTTTCAATCCAAAGATTAGAATGTTTTCGAATCTCAAAATTTTGAAAATCTTTCAGAGTCTTCAGGTATTGAGGTCATTAATTTACTATCTTAAACTTTTGAATTGGTTTTAAATTAATTTTTTGCTAATATCAAGACGGTTCGATTTTCAGTCCAAGAAATTATTAAACTTTTTATTTAAAAAAAAAAAATATTTGTAAATTAATGACCCTAATACCTGAAGACTCTGAAAGATTTTCAAAATTTTGAGATTCGAAAACATTCTAATCTTTGGATTGAAAACATTTTAGCATGTTCAGGCATGGTAAAAATACATTGAAACTGAAATAAATCCAAAAACCTCATTCGGATTAAAAAAAACCCTCTTAATTTGAATAAGTGGGAAAAAATACTTATGATTTGATGTAAAACATGGTCTTAATTTTTTAGCGCATTTTTGAAACTTGTTTCAAAAAGGTAGCTTAATAACGCACTTTGTTCGGCTGGCTGGCTGGTCGGCTGCTAAGAAAAACTTTTAATCTAGACATCGTAGAGAGTTCTAGTTTTTTGCATTAGTTCCGTTATATCGAGTTATTGGCCCGCCGGACATTTAAAAATCTTAAAACAGTGTATTTATGCTATAATTAATGAATTTTTGTTTTGTTTTCAGTGTAACCTGCTCAAATTTTATTTTACCTCTATAATTTCAATATTACCTCTATAATTTCAAAAAATTTCTAGCCGTTGTAAAATTTGAATTTCAAAAAACCGTTAAATGATAAACTTTTTTTGTATGGAAATTCATTGGAACAAATTATTTAATTATACTATAATTAATTTTTTCGTAGTGCAACTTATAGCGGGAAAATTTCAAACTATTTATTGACCGTTAGAAAATTTGAATTACAAAAAAATGTTAAATGATAAACCCTTTCTGTATGAAAATTCATTGCAACAAATTATTTAATTATACTATAATTAATTTTTTCGTAGTGCAACTTATAGCGGGAAAATTTCAAATTATTATTATATTGACCGTTAGAAAATTTGAATTACAAGAAACCGTTAAATGATAAACTCTTTCTGTATGGAAATTCATTGCAACAAATTATCTAATTATACTATAATTAATGTTTTTTTAATGCAACTTTTAACGGCAAAATTTCAAATTATTTATTGACCGTTAAATAATAATCCTTTCTATATAAGCATTCATTGTAACTTTTTGTTAATTACACTAAAATTAATGATCTTCTAATCTTCTCATGATCTGTAAATGAACGCAAAATAATTACATAATCAAATACTGATCGCTAACACAAAAATGCGCTTAAGTCCCTCGATCAATAACACGAGGACTTCTGTAATTTTTTCTTAAATTTTTGGACATGCTTAGGTACGAGGCTAGAATGTGCAGGAACTGATATAAATTTAGAATGATTCGAGCTAAAATATCGACAGATTAGGAACACTGAGAAAAAGTTTTGACATACAATATGATCCTAGTAAATTTTTGAAACTTTGATGATGTTCAGGTAGGGGATGGAACTGGAACTGCCACAAGTCCAGGATGACAGGTTGGACTTAAATAATTCCATCATATTTAAGCTGCTGAGGAAAAGTAGACGTGTTTTGATATATAACATGGTAGGTTTTTGGAGAAAAAAATATTGGTCCACAAGTAGTACTGTTCAAAACTTTGACAGTCCATAACTCTTTCAGGTTATATCCATTTCCAAAAATTTTTGCAGGACGAAATTGGACGTAAATAGTAGATCGATTTTCATATATAATTTGGCCATAAGAGTTTAGTTCCTATAGTTACTCCCCGAAAAAGTGAAGTACGCGGGAAAGATACCCAAAACCTTGTAAGGGGTATATCCAGTTATAGGAAGTAGGACGAAAATATTTAAATGCGGGACGTAAATGGACGTAATATGGACGTAATCCAGGCCAAGTTTCATCTCTCCCTGACAACTTGCTCCCGCGTACTTCACAGACACATAAAAAATGGTTAAAATAAAAGAAAATTTGTAAAAAAAATATAGGTATGTTTAAAAAGTACCCGAAATTTCGGGCGAAATAAAAAGTTTCGGCCGAAAATTTTAAAGATTTCGGCCGGAAATTTTAAAAATTCCGGCCGAAATTTCGGCCGAAATTCCGGTCTATCCTATGGACCATAATCGCAAAAACCCTTTCTGAACGCACTCTTGATCCAGAAATCTTTACTGAATGCACTCTTGGTGAAAATACCTTTCTGAACGCACTCTTGATCCAGAAATCTTTACTGAATGCACTCTTGGTGAAAATACCTTTCTGAACGCACTCTTGATCCAGAAATTTTTACTGAATGCACTCTTGGTGCAAAACCTTCTCTGAACGCATTCTTGATCTAGAAATCTTCACTGCATGCACTCTCGATGCAAAAACCCTATCTGAACGCACTCTTGATCCAGAAATTTTTCCTGAATACAATTTTGATTCAAAAACCCTTTCTGAACGCACTCTTGATCCAGAAATCTTTACTGAATGCACTCTTGATGTAAATACCTTCACTGAACGCACTCTTGATCCAGAAATCTTTACTGGATGCACTATTGATGCAAAAACCCTTTCTGAACGCACTCTTGATCCAGAAATCTTTACTGAATGCACTCTTGATGGAAAATACCTTTCTGAACGCACTCTTGATCCAGAAGTCTTTACTGAATGCACTCTTGATGCAAAAACCTTCTCTGAACGCATACTTGATCCAGAAATCTTTACTGAATGCGCTCTCGATGCAAAAACCCTTTCTGAACGCACTCTTGATCCAGAAATCTTTACTGAATGCACTCTTGATGAAAAAACCTTTTTGGGCGCACTCTTGATCCAGAAATTTTTACTGAATGCACTCTCGATGCAAAAACCCTATCTGAACGCACTCTTGATCCAAAAATCTTTACTGAATGCACTCTCGATGCAAAAACTGCACTTTTAATTCAAAGTTTTATATTTTTTCTGAATTCCAGGCTACACATGCGGACCAAAAGAAGTGATTCAACTTTTAAGACAAAAATCTCGTCCATATCTCTTTAGTAATTCTCTATCACCAGCAATTGTTGGAGTAGGCATAAAAGTCATGGACATGCTTCTCGCACCAAATGATTTCATAGGAAATTTACAAAAGAACACAAGAAAGTTTAGAGATGGAATGACAAAAGCTGGATTTACGATTTCAGGTGAAGATCATCCAATATCTCCAGTCATGCTTGGTGATGCTAAATTGGCACAAGATATATCAAATGAGCTATTGAACTATGGAATTTATGTTATTGGATTTAGCTTCCCAGTCGTTCCAAAAGGCAAGGCTAGGATTCGAGTACAAATCTCTGCAGCACATACAGAAGAAGAGATTGATCAGGCAATTAATGCATTTATTGAAGTTGGAAAGAAGTTTAATGTGATCAAGTGAATTTTAACTATCTAGTTACTGCATTTATACCTAAATCTCTAAAAATTAAACATCCAAAGATTTTTTTAATTATAATAAATGTCTCAAAATTGTCAAAAGATCACTTTATTTCTTAGAAATTGGTTTCCTCATATAAGCTTTAGAAGGTGGAGTTGATTTTGTCTGTTTGTTAGACTGATTGGAAGTAGAACTAGAATTTGTGGCATTTGAAGGTACAACAGGCGGTATAACTGGTGGATTCACAACAACTGAAGCTCGATTTGAGTTCCCATTTGATGAATTTGTATTACTATTGGCATTAATGTGATTTCCTTGTATTGCCTGAGCCTGTACTTGATTCTGAGGCACTTGTTCGGACATGTTAATCTGCTCGTTAAAGACCATGCAAAAATCACCCATCTTAACGATCTGTTAAGAAATTTAATAAAGAAACATTTGAACAATTATTGTAAAATAAAAAGATCAGTCGACAAATTACCTCTCCTGACTTTCCAGAATATAGAGTTAGACATCCTCTAAAAATACTGGCATACCCTTTAGTTAATTTTACAATATCGCCAGGAGCTATCAATTTCCCTGGTTCATCCCAAATTGAACAATTTATTGAGGCTGTTGGATCTGCGACCTAAAATTGATCATTATTATTTTTGAATATTAACGATCAGGAAATATTTGAATAAAAACTGTCAAAAAATATTTAAAAAATGTAACGCATAAATACTACCCCTCTCATTTGCTTTAAGCCCCTCTGAACCAATCCATCGAACTCACACCAAATACACATAGAATATGAACACTATTTTGCTTTTTATGCCTTGTTAGATACAGATCATGACTCCAAAAACTATTCAGCGAATCTTTCGGTCAACATCTATCAGATGCAAAAGATTGGAAGCCTTAATATTAAGTCTGCAACCAGATATCATGCTGGAAACACTTAATGAAATGTCATGTTGACTAATTTGTATTTACAGGCACAGACTATCCACTATCAACACATTGAGCTAATTCTGTAGGCTTGAATCAACTAGTTTAATTTAAGAATACAACAATCATTCTCTGGGAGTTTTCTATGACTTAAAGAACCATTCAGCCTCAGACCTATCAAACCAGCTAGCAGTCATCTAAAATATATAGCAACAAGATCCAGTACTTACTTTAAAGCTATTGACTTCTCTGTTTTCTTTAGTTTTTGAGCAGCTTATGTTCTCGAGCACTATAAAGATGACATTTACGTTCTTTAGGCCTCCACGGATATCCTTAATCATGGTGCAATCCATCTTGCTCTAGACTTAATGAGATACTTAATTAATTCAAACTTTTAATGTTTTAAATCAAAATTTTTGTTGTTGAGGGTTGATTCTGATGTTTTGGAATCATTTAGGGTCAGTTCACATGCTTTTTGTGCCTTCAATGTTGCTTCAGTGTTTCGAAACATTCAAAAAGTAAACAAAAACATCAGAAAAACGTTTAGGAACAAAAAAATTAATAATTTATAAAAAGTACCAGTAATCAGGCACAAGTCTCATCAATCATCCTCAAAAGTAAGTCATAACTATCAAGTCTATCAAACATTTTCAAATAACAACAAATAAATCCTTAATTTCAGTTAAAATGGAAGAAAATTTCAAACTTCCAGTACTTCCATTAATTGGACCTAAAAGACCGGATGAAAAGCAAGTAGAAGAATTCTTATGTCCATATAAACCACCAAGCTACAGTGGTCCACTTCCAGACCAAACTTACAGCTTTGAAGTCCTCAAAAATGGTGTGATTGTGGATATGATTAATAATTTAGAGGATAAAGCATATCATGTATTTGGACGACTGCCTGTACCTAATGTAGACATCAATTCAGCACATCCAACAAGCTCAAGATTTCATTGTGTTTTACAATATCGACCAGCTGGAATTGATGATAATATTGAGAGGGAAACTGCTGAAGGCTGGTACGTGTATGATTTAGGTAAGTTTATGGCTACTGGATCTTAGTTCCTTTAATGTATTTCTAATTACATTCATCTTTTCAGACTCTACACATGGAACATTTCTGAATAAAAACAGAATTAAGCCAAAAACCTTCGCAAGGATGCACGTTGGACATCAATTAAAACTTGGAAATTCTACAAGATGTTACATCCTTCAAGGACCACCAGAAGACGAAGAAGATCAATCAGAATTCACAATTTCAGAATTAAAGCAGCAAAGGCTTATTAAAGTAGCTGAAAGGAAGCAAAAGGAACTAGATGATAAATTAGAACAGGAAAGGATTGAAAAAGAAAAGGAGGAAGCAGGAATCAGTTGGGGCATGACTGATGATGCTGAAGAGGAACCAGACTTATCAGAAAATCCATTTGCAGTCACAAATAATGAAGAAATTTTTATAAACGACCCCAAAAAGACATTGAGAGGATTTTTCGAACGTGAAGGATATGATTTGGACTACAGATGTGATGAATTGTCACCTGGTGTCTTTATATGTCGAGTGGAACTACCAGTTGATGATGAATTTGGTAAGCCAACAATATGTGAAGTTCAGCATAAAGGAAAGAAAAAGGAATGTGTCGTACAGTGTGCATTAGAAGCTTGTAGAATTTTAGACAGGCACGGTGTCCTTAGACAAGCTAATCATGAGCCAAGAAGGAAGAGAAAAGTCAGTGAAAGTGATTCAGACGATGACAATTTCTTTGATAGAACTGGTGATGTAGAAAAGAAGAGATTAAAAAAGCAGTCACAGCCAGAACAGGAAGCATTGACATACGAGCAATTGATAGTACAGGAACAGGAAATTTTAATGAAAATTCAGCTTCAAGAACAGGAAATAAATCAAATGATTGAGAATGAACGGAAATTGAAGCAACAGAATCAAGCAGACGAGGAAGATCTGGATTCCTTTATGTCACATTTGACTGACAAGAAGGTCGACAAGTTTGAGATCAGAAATATGAAGAATGAGCTGCAAAACTTAAAACTGGAACATGCAAAGATCCAGAAACTCATCAATATTGTCAAACCATCTGTTGTGCTTCCTCCAATTTCACAGTCTAAAGCTAAGCTTCCATTATTTGGTAAAAGGAACAGATTGCCACGTGATTTTGGTCTTAAAAAAGTCTCAGAAACTGCTAAAATTAAAAAGGGCGATGAAGATTTTGAAATTGAAGAAGATGAAGATGATGTTAAGGAACCAGCAAGTAGCAGTACTGAAAATTTAAGTACCAAAGCTGTTAGCAAGTCTAAATTTGATGAATTGGCAGAAAAAGTATCAAAAGTAATGGAAAATGAAGGTTTGAAAGATCCAGTTGAGTCCAGCAACAACAAACCCAGCTCAAAAGATCCAGAACAGCCTAAAGCAAGCTTGAAAGATCCAAAGTCCGATTCCGACGGTTCAAACCTGCCAAAATCTAGTTCAAAAGATCCAGAACTACCAAAATCCAACAAAAAAGACACAACAAGCATTAAGTCGAGCATCGAATTACCAATAAAAGTTGAATCAAGCTCAAAAGATCCAGAAAAGTCTAAAATTAAAGATCCAGCACCTTCAGAATCCACAAAAACCCTTCAAGAAGTAAAAAACAGCAAGCCAGACGAGCAATCAACACAAAAAGAACAAGATATTCCACAAAAAGACAAACCAGACGAACCAACAGAGCAAACAGCAGCAAAAAAGAGCAAGAAACCACAGAAATCACTAAAATCCGGCAGTCGCTACAGAGCAAATGTTGACATTAATGATGACGATGAGTATATTGACGAAGAAAAGGTTTCAATGTGGTTACCACCACAAAATCAAAGTGGCGACGGTACGAGTCACTTGAATGATAAGTTTGGGTATTAAATGTTTGGCATTTTTAAACATGTTTTAATAAAGAGAGAAGTTAAACTAATTTGGTTTGACCGTTATTTTTTAAAAATTATAAACTGTTTTTTTTCAATTTTTTGAAAACCGTTATTTTTTCAAAAATTTAAAAGTCGTTTTTTTTTAAATTTTGATAACCGTTGTAGTTTCAAATTTTTAAGAGTTGTTAAGTTATAAAATTTTAAATTTCTACTCACTGCATTTTATTAATCTCGGAAGTCACAAAGCTTAAATTTTTAAAGTCAAAAAATCTGCAGTTTCCCCGCTCAACAGAAAAGCATTTACACAGCACATTTAGTTCCCGATCAGTCAAAAGTTCAATCAATCCACAAGTCTTTAAACCACGCTGAAAGTTTGTAATTGTAACATATCCTGATTTTCCATCATAATCAGTCAAGAATGAGCTCAAATTGGACACATCATCAGGATATTTTGACAATTTTTGGAGTGCATGCGACACCACAAATCGTTCCTCGAAATTCAAAAAGTTTAATGAATCTTCTCGGGTTGGAATCAATGGAATTGGCCTTCGTAGAGGCTGCTTTTCGAGTCCTATTTGTGTAAAAGCTTCATTCATGATGTCAATAAAGAGCTTGTGGTTGACACAGTCAGGTTTTGATGGAATTCGGCAGCTGTTAATGACAGGATTAGAAGTTAAGCATGTCAATGCTTATTGAGAATAGAATCAGCAACTTACGAGTCACAGACAATGTCTAATTCACAATCCTCAAGTATAATCCCAGCAGCACTAAAATTCCTTCGAAAATCACTGACTGGAAGCTCATCCTTAGCAAATTTCTGTCCATTCTTCAAAAACATGTCCAAGTTGATCCTTTTCCTGCAAATTTCACCTTTAATCTTAGCCAAAACCTCAATAATTGTTCGTTCTGGATGTGTGCATGGCGGTACTGGAATTTCATTGATTTTCCTTAACATTTCCAACAGTTTTTCGTGTTTAGATTCACAGAAGTAAACCTCATTAATGTCTCTCAAAAACTTCATATAGTTGAATCCCATGTCATTTCCATATCTAGCCATTAGTGCCAAAATTTCCTTATCTGACAACACAATCGAGTTCATCGAAAAAACTCGTCTCATTTGACATTTCGTGACATGCTTGTAATTATTGGAATCAAAGTCTCTGAAGAATGGCTCAATCAGGATTTGACGACCTTCGATGATTTTTCTGAGTTTGAAAACTGTTTCTTGAGCTAATTGCTTGGTTGATATTGGTATACATTCCCAATCTGCTGTTCCTGGACGATTGAGGGTTTTCACTTCTGTTGGTGGACATTCTACGAGTCTGTAAGGCTGTTTATGTAGATTTCTGGAAATGAATTTTAAAAATCCGTTAGAAATATATTTGAAATTTCTGAGAGGGGTAATCTACTTGTTAAATTGAAAGTTTGAATTTTAAATTACAGTTATAAATTAAAATTGACTAATCAGCTCTAAATCAACAAAATTACTCATTATTCCAGCCTTCAACTTACTTAATCTCGAAAACTTCATCAATATCATCACAAAACTTCTTCCAATTAATTCTATCAACATCCAGTGGATCCTCATAATTCTTCAAAATCTTTATGACATCATGTTGTGCAATATACAATCTATGAAGTCCAGAAACTCCAATAGCATCAAGACCTCTCAAAAATTGAGCTGTTGTGATAAATCCACGTCTTAAGCAGTCGAATTTTTCAAAGAATTCCTTAGTTCTAATGCAATTGTCCAAGATGTGCTTCTTAATTCTAAGCATCAAGTCCTCAAAACTTGCATCGCCTTTCTTTTGACTTTGACATGGATGGCAAGGTCTGTCGATTCCATTTATTTCAGCAACTAAGTTGAATTCTGGACGTGGTAGATTTTGGTAGTCACAGATGATGATATTGCCTGGATAGCATTCTGATTCCATTGAACATTCAACGTGACCATTCTCATTGAACCATTTGAGGATATTCTTAATAGCTTCTATAAATCCAACGTAATTGACTGTATAGTTATGCTTCATAAACTTCTTGACAAGCAATCGAAACTCTTTGGAACCCAAAGTTATTCCAAGGAAATTCAAGACACGACGAAAATGAGTAATAGTGATTGTTCCATCATTTTTGGACATCATTTCATAGTCAAGAAAGTACGGCTCAAAAATGATATCTTTAAGTCGACAACTATGTGCAATTTTCGTGAGAATCATGTTGACTTGTCGATGCTCAAATTGTGACAGCACATTGATGTGCATTGGATCTTCCCATTCCAAACCACTCACAAACTGCTTATTTCCATTATCACAGTCCAAACTTGGCTGAAGAACTTCAAGAAACTTCTTGTAATTTATTTGATCCTTGTCATTTGCAAAGAATTGAACCAAGTTGACTGTTTCATCGTGGGTCAGTTCCAATTCACTGCTCAAGCTGTTAATGACTGTTAGAAACTTTGAGGATGAGATAAAGTCACTATAAGCTATTGACTGAAACTTTTCTTTAATATCGATGATATTTTTTGCTAATAAGGTTCGAATCTTGTTGCAGGTTCTCCAAACTTCATTAATTTTGTACACAATTGCTGACATTTTCGGGACTGATGATTGAGATTTGTGGATTTGAAATATGAAATTGAGTTTTAAAAGATTTTTCAACAATTGCTTGGATGTGAAATTTTAAAAATTTTGCATCACTTTTAAGACTTAAGTTTACTTTGAAAGCTTTAAATCTATTGAAGCACAATTAATCTCACATTTCTGAATCAAAAGTTGAAAAGAAGCAGACAATTAAAGCAATTTGTCTGCTCCTTTCACATTCATTTTAACAATTTATTGCAATTAATGCAACGTCATTTTCGTCAAATTTCTTATTAAATTATGCTTTATTGCAAGAAAACATGTTATTCAACACCAATAAGCTAAAAGATGCTGCTTGACTTCTTAAAGTTAAGACTTTACTCATTAAATATCTCAAATTTGCAACAATTTTCGATGTCTTTAGAAAAATGTTGAATGTTGAAATAATTTCAGTCCTTTTTCTCCAAATTAGTAATCAAAAAGTCCTGAAATACATTCCATAACCGAAATAAAAGCTTTTAAATCAAGAAATAAACGTGAAAGTCCTTCGGAAACAGAACGGAAAATGAAACTATTCAGTGAGAGTCAAAAACTCGTGTAAGTTCAACACAATCAATACAAAAGAGAAACAAATTGTGTATTTTCACGGAATGGAGAGAAGGAAAAACTTTTTGTTCCTATCAGACGCGTCCCAACTTTCGGATTGTAAAGTCAAGTTTCATTTGATTTTGCTCTTATTTTATCATACATAATATATACATATTATATATTTTGTGTCTCATTTTTAAAGAAAGCTAGAAGCTTTCGCTGCTGAACGACTGTCTAGTGGCATAACTTCAGTTATTTATTTAATTATCAAAAAAATAAGAAAAAAGTTTTTGGTCAGAAAAAAAAGGAGGAAGAAAAAAAGTCTCCTTCAGTAAGTGCTGTTCTGAAAAAAAAAATCGAATAAAAATTCCAACAAAAACGAGAAGAAAAATTTTTCTTTCATATTCACACAAAATTTTCAATTTTTTTTTCAAATATTTAACTTTTCATTTATAATTTCGAGAAAGTGGAGCCGTAAATGTAGAAATTAACCATTATCTTATTGAGAGCACATGTGCGGGCTACGGTTTATCAGAACTAAAAATACTCCATCCAAAAGGACAAGTCTACGTTGGGGCGATAGCTGCTTCTGCCTCTAATTTATTCATCCACAGTCACTTCTTTATTACCAAACACCATTTTCGTCTCGTTTATTATCGTCCATCAAAAGGATTGTGCGAGACTTTCGTGCTATAAGCTTTAAAAGTTACTCAATTTTATCTGATTGAAAAGTGAAAAAAAAGTTTCATTTTCCAAAAATCAAAAAAAAAAAGTTAAAAGCTCAAGGATTTATTTTTTTCGTCTGCTTTATGACCGACGACTATAAAGTGTGGAGTTAAAACAATTGTCTGTGATTAAAATTCTTTTAACAAGAAGAAATTAATTAAATATAAAAAATAAAAAAAAAGTCAGAAAGTGAAAAATTAGCAATTTTCAGTGAGTTTTGAGTGTATCTGTAAATGTAAATGTGAGAGGATAACAGAAAAAGGAGAGGAAATTGTGCACACTAGTACACACATATCCAACCATATTTGAAAAAGTGTAAAAACATTTGGGTAAGTTGATAGACTTTTCACACACACAGATATACTTTCCACACACACAGACATACTTTCCACTCACACCAATACAATCACAACATCAATTTTCATTAATATCTAATTTTCATATTCTTTTCACTGTATGTATAACATGAAATGTTTTGTTACATAACTCGATATATGCGAATTTTCATTCATAAAGCTCTTTTTCATGTGTTTGACATAAAGAAGCAAGTCTAAGTTCACAAGTTTCTATAATTTTATTCAAATGTGATGGAAAAAAAATTAAATTTTTTTTATTACGATAATCGGAAACATTTGAAAGCTATGAATAAACATGAAAATGTTGAGCTTTATTGCTATTTATGGGTTTTATGGGAAATACCCAAATTGAAAATTATCAAGAGACAATGAACTTGGAATTCGGATTTATTTCGATGAATAGATTTGGAGTGGAAATTATGAGATTTGTTTAAGCCAACCGAACCCTCTCGATTTTTACACATTACATATAAGTTTTGAAATTCGTCTAGCTCTTGAGCCAATTTTTGGAATATACTTCAGGCATAGTATAGGAATAAGGTTTTCTTAAAGCAAAAACATCACTTCGATCCATGTTTTATTGGAACATCTTAAGTCTTCAATTATAGAATTTTTATGTACTTGACAAATTACCCTGTTTTTTCGTTATAAGCTACTACTCGTTACTAAGCTACTAGTGAGCCAAAAAAATCACTTTTTTATTCTTCTAAGCTACTAGCTAAAAAAGCCCTAAAAAATAGGGTAAATCATTTCCAAGTAGTATGCACAAGGTTTAACCTAGAGTTCGCTGATACTTGAGATATTAACTACTATATTAACTTGAGATACCCTCTGGTGCTACTTTGATATCAGCTATTATCTTTATCTGAAAAACCAACCTTGCTTCAAATATTAAATACGCTTACTTTGCTTGTCGTATAGCCTGAGAGCCGACATGAACACTAGTTCTAAGATCTGAATAGATTTTGTTTGGCTGCTGGAAACACAACTGCTTAGTGAAGATTAAACTGAGCTAGCGGACATAATTTAGATTTAAAAATGATTAATATTAAGTATTTAGTAACACTATTGCATAATTTAAGATGAATACATTGAAATTGAAATAACCTCAATTTAAGACGTCACTTAGTGACCCCCCCCCCCTCAAGATTTTTGATTACAAAAAGGATTTTCTCCTCTCAGTTCCCATCCTAATTAATAATATTTCTAGCAACTTTTTCCCTCTATAGTCCATTAATTTACCAGACATAGTCTATAAATACTTTAGACAATTTATTATGTAGCGGATAAGCTTAATTCAGACACCCTTTTTAAAATGAAGCTCATTTTTCTGTCTGAATCGTTTTTGAAAAAGGTTCTAAACAAAAAATTATGTGTCGTGGGGCTTCACATCTGTTGACATTTTGCGTTATGAATTTTAAATCCGTTTTGGTGATGGCTTCTTTAATGCTTAGCGATTAATCAAATGAGAAATTGTTATTTATAGTGGTTTTGAGACATGTGAAAATTGGATGAAGATGTTGCATATTTCATACATGGAAATGCATAGACGTTAAGTGACATTTGGAAATGATGACAATTTTTGATGCAGAAGAGAGGATTTTTGCATTTGTAAGTGATTTTGTGAAATTTTTGAGATTGTACAATGTTGAGCCATAATGGAATGATTGAAAGGTTTTAAAAGATTTATAAATTTCTAGCTGTTCTTGTAGATTTGCTGTGTCAGTCTTAAATTATAGTGAATATTGACACAATCGATTAGAATCGATTTGATTTGATTTATCTAAAGACAAACTTAATTTACATTATTTTTGGAGACAGACAACTCTTTTAAAGTTTTGTTCCAATTTACTTTTGAGGTGAGTCTTCAATTTCCAATTAAACTTACAAGTCAATTACAAACCTTAGCGGCACAATCTATCTAAAATTTTAAACCTACAGAATCAATTTTCAAGTATAAAATTTCAAAGCCTTTATTTTATCTCATATTTCATCTCTTCTTGCTTATTTCACTTCGAGTAGCATTTCAGTCTCTTACAGTCTTACAAACACGTTTAACAATTTTGGATGGAAATTGCCAAAAGTTTCAGTACTGTGCTTTAAGCATTCTTTTTGTTTCCAACTTGAAAGTTAATCTATCTAATATTCATATTTACATCAATTTACATCTTGACAAACAAAGTTTATGTTGCTTTCAAGTTGGTTTGTTAAAATTAGGATCAAATAGATCTGTAGCAGTGATGTTGACGACTTTTATTGGATAGTAGCCAAATATTTAACTTTAAGCTTAAGAAATTCATGTTTTGATTGGTACTTTTTCAATCGCTGGTACGATCAAACTATTCTAGATTGCATCAAGAAGTTATTAATCTTCCTTTTAACTAGAAAAATCTTCCAACTATTTAATCTACATTGATAATTTGAATTAAACCCCATAATTGTGCTTGGGTACATTGTTCTCATAAAGACTACGTTACAAACTAAGCTTAATTGCTTAAATCTACAGTAAAATTCAAAATAAATCCTTAATCATCAAAATATGTGCAAAATCAATCAGATTAGAATATCGCGTTTCAATTCTTAATCCTCAAAATTATCACAAAATAGACGCTAGTCTTCGATTTCAACAAATTCTAAGTATTCCGATCACGTTCATCTAATGACGACAGAAACAATTTTGAGTAGCTTTGCAATCAGTACTTACTCTATAATTCCAATACATTACAATGCAATACATTCAATTCTATAAATAGTGCTCAAATATATTTTTACATGGATGAACGAAATTGAATTTCAGATAAACAAACTTTTCTTGGCATTTGCAATGCTTTTTTTTATTGCAAAATTGCTGTTTACGAAAAGTTTTTGAATTAAACATAAATTGAAAGCTAATGGAAATGGAAATATAAATGTGAAAAGCGTAGAATCTTTTTCATATTTCAATTCCGAAAACAATTAAACTTGATGCAAAATAAAAATAAATCAAGCTTTCAGTCTACGACAGTTTGTGTTAAAAGTTTTTTTGTGTTCGTTGCTTTTTTGCATAGAAATTGCTTTAATTTGCAAATTCTTTCTAGCACTTCAATTTCCTGGAAACTTCAATAATTTGGAAAAATTATAATAATTTGCAATTAGGAAATTCTCCAAAGACAGCCATCAGTCATTGTTTGAGAGGAACAGCATATGTATTAGGCAGAACATTTATGTAGCTGTCATATTCCTGTCATGGGAATGCTTTGCCATTTTATGTTGTTGAAGGCGACACGCTATTTAAAATGTAGGAAAAGAAACAATAATTTTGAGGAAGTATACGGAAATACGTAATGAACTTACTGAGAATGTGAGCAGGAAAATATATATTGAACTAG